ATAAAGCTAATAATTAAAAAATAATAATAATTAAGAACTAAAAGTATTACTTAAGAAGTCTATAGATAATTAAAAAAAAAGAACGTATTATATAAGATCTAGTTACTTACGCGGGCTAGTACTAAGAAGTATTATATATATTAAAATAGGTATAACTCGCCCTCTAAATAGCTAGATTTTAAAAGATTTTATATAGCAGAAGGTTAGGAGTTTTAGTTAGTAATTAAGTACGGAGCGCAATAAACCTAGTTTTCTTTAATACGTAATACATAGTACGGCCCTAGCGGATTACTCCGTTAGGGGGGTATAGTAGCTATAGTTAATTATTATTAATTATAAAGTTTATTAAATAATATACGTAATAAAAACTTAATATTAATCCTCGTAAATTAGCTTCTTTATAGGGCGAAAATAGCCCCTAATAAGGCAGGCCGACCCTAAAGGGTTAAATATTCTATAAAAGTACCTTTTTAAATAAAAACTCTATACGTATTATAAAGTATTATTATACTTTTTAATTTAATAAAATACGTATATACTAATATATATTATAAAAAATATATATATATATAAAAATATTTAGTTTTATTTTATTTTATATACTACGTATATAAAAAGCACCCTATATAAATATATCTTTATATATAATTTCTTTTAATGATATATACTAATATATACATATCTTATTAAGTTAAAAAGTATAATAGTACCTTATAATATGCGCAGAGCTTTATTAAAAAAGTAACCCTATAAGCTATATATCTAATTATATTACTAACTACTTATTTTATAATTATATAACGTAATACTGTAAGTAAATAGTTTATAAAAATCATTTATTTAGTTATAATAATAATATTATTAAAATTAGAGTTATTTAAAGTTATATTATTATAATTTTTAAACTTTTTAACTTATATTATATTAGATTACTTATAATATAATTAATATATTATAAATAGTTTTATCTAGGTAGTAGTTTATATATTAATAGGTTCGTTTAATAAGTTTATTTTTTATTTAATAGATTTATTTAATTTAAATAGAGTTTAAATAATATTAAAATAATAAAAATAAAAAGAATTTTACGAGTTTTAATATAAAGAATAGTAAATATTAACCCTTTTAGCTTTTTAAAAAAATTTATATTATTAAAGTCTAAATCCTCTATAGTTAAAGAAGGCTACTTCTAATTTTACGCAACTATTATAGTTAACTATTATAATTAACTTTTATTATTAACTTTTTAACTAGTACTATTATATAATAAAATAAATAGCCTACTTATCCTAAATTAAATAATAGTTTTATATTAAAATTATTATATTATATTAAGTACGTACTTAGAGTATATTATGTATATTATATAATTAAAAAATATACTATATTATATAATTTCTTTTCAAAACGTAATCTTATTAAAATTAACTTTTTTATATAAAGCTAAAAAAACTACTATATAAATAGTTTTATTTATAAAACCTAATACTTTTAAAATAAATATAAGAAATTTATTAAGTTATTAAATAATAAATAGATCCCTTTTATATTTCCTTATATCCTCTTATATCTTTTAATCCTTAAAATTTTAAATTATTTATTTTTATTATAATTAATTTATTATTTAATTATAATATAAATTACCTTATTTAACTTAATAAACCTAGTATTATTTACTAAGTTTTATACTTTAAATTTAATTTATTATTATTTTAAAAAAAGCCGTTACCCTAAGCTTTTATTATAAACTTAGGGGTATTTCGTATTTAATAATACCCTATTTTTATTTTTATATTTTTTTAAAAAAGCCCTTTTATTATTTATTATAAATATATTAAAACTAAGTAATTATAATATTATATATTTTAAAATATTTTTAAATACGTTATTATTAAGTACGAATTTTATTTAAATGAAGGGCTAGTTTATTAATAGTAATATTATTTTCTTTATTAATTTTATAATAATAATTACTTACTTTATAAAAGCTCTTAATATTTAATATTATTTATAATAATAACGGAATTATAATTAATACGTAGTACGTAATTAAGTATTATTAAAGCTAAACTATATTAATAATAAATAGGGTTAAAATAAGAAAAAGCGTTACTATTAAATTAGATTAATTAAAAATAAAGTTAAATAACGACAGCTTATTAGCTTAAAATAAAGAGTATTAATAAAAATAATTATTAAAAATTAAGTAATAAAGTACTTAGTACTTAATAATAATATAATTATTACTTAAAAATTAAAAGTTAAAAATTAGTTATAATATATAACTTTAAAAACTTATTAATAAAGTAATAATAAGTAAGCGGGCTATTATAAAAAAATAGCTACGCTTTTATTAATAATCGCTCTTAGTAAATTACTATAATAATTAGAGGCTATATATAAAAATATATTGATACAAAGTAAGCTTTTATATACGTAGTATATAAAATAAAATAAAACTAAATAGAATTTAAAATACTTAGATTATAAGCTTAGTAATTTAATAATTACGTAACTTATAAAGGGTTTACTTAATACTTAAAGTATAAGTATATTTATTTTATATTTCTATTTCTACGAATCGCTCAGGTAGTTCTTAATATTAGTTATACGGTATTAATATATAATATTAGTAAATACTCTTATTATCTTGTTAAACTATTTTTATAGTTTTTTTACCTTTTTTAAATTTTCCTTTTATAAAATTTATAATTACGGATTAATAGTAATATTAAACGCGTAACTACTTTATAAGCCCTTATACTTAGCTAAGTTCGTAGCCCTTCTAAGTAACGGCCTTATAATAATAGTATCTAAAATACCCTCGTCGCTATTATTAAGAATAATACTAACTATTAATATATACTTTAATTTATATATATATATTATATATTCGTTTTTATTTCTTTTATTAAAATTAAAAAATACTACTTTTTACTATTTATTACTACTACTATTACTATTATTATTACTATTATTATTTAATTATTTATTTTAAATATATTTTATTGATATTAATAACTCGTTAACCCCTAGGGCTTCTTTAATAACTAATAGAAGTTCGATTTTATAGCTATTATATTAAATAACCCTGAGCTATAGAAATACCGTCTTAATAAGTATTATATTTATAATATTAACTTATAAAAATAGATAAATATATTATAATAGGTATTACCCTTATTGGTACCTTTTTAATATAATATAGTAGTATAGATAAGTTTAAATTTAATAATATAATTAGGAGCTTAGAACGAGTATAAGCGAGTATATTAAATAGGAATCCCTTTGGGGTCTAGCCCGCCTCATTAGGGGCTAACTTCGCCCTCACGAGTAAGCTAGTTTTATTAGGGCTAATATCGAGTTTTTATTACGTATATTACTTAACAAATTTTATAATTAATAATAATTAGCTATAGCTTAACTATTATTAATAATATAATATATTAATCGCTTTTTAAATAACTAAATACTACCCCTTACTTTCTCCCCTTATCTTATCTAATAATAACCTCTCCCTAATATTCCTATTTAATACGCTCGCTTATACTCTTTTTAAGCTCCTAATTATACTATTAAGTCTAGGCTTATCTATACCTCTATATTATATTAAAAAGTATTAATAAGGGTAACGCTTATTATAATATATTTATTTATTTTTATAAGTTAATATTATAAAAATAATATTTATTAAAACGGTCTCTTTATAACTCGGGTTATTTAATATAATAATTATAAAATCGAACTTTTATTAATTATTAAAAAGCCTAGGTTAATAAGTTATTAATATCTTAGTATTTTAATAAAATATATTTAAATAAATAAATAATTAAATAATAATAATAATAATAATAATAAATAATAAAAAAATAACGTTTTTAATTTTAATAAAAGAAATAAAGTAATAAATATATAATATATATATATATATAAATTAAAATATATATTAACGGTTAGTATTATTCTTAATAATAATAACGAGTATCTTAAATACTACTATTATAAAACTATTATCTAAAAAGTAGCGAACTATTATCTAAAAAAGTAGCGAACTTAGCTAAGTACGAAACAAGCTTATAAAATAACCGTACGCCTAACATCGCTATTAATCTATAATTATAAACTTTATAAAAAAATTAAAAATAAAAAAATTATAAAAATAATTTAATAAGATAATAAGGGTATTTACTAATACTATATATAAATACTATATAACTAATATTAAAAACTACCCGAGCGATTCGTAAAAATAGAATTAAAAAATAAATTAAATAAGAATATTAGGGAGAGGCTATTATTAAATAAGATAAGGGGAAAAGTAAGGGGTAGTATTCGGCTATTTAAAAAGCGATTAATATATTACGTCGTTAGTAATAATTTAAGCTACGGTTAGTTATTATTAGTTATAAAGTTTATTAAGTAATGTACGTAATAAAAACTCGATATTAACCCTTATAAACTAGCTTGCCCGTAGGGCAAAGATAGCCCCTAATGGGGCGGGCCGACCCCAAAGGGAAGTATAAGTATATAAAGGCCTAATATTTAGTATTATAATATATATATAAAATTATATATATATAAAATTATATATATATATAATTATATAAAATAAAATTAAAACTGAATATATTTAAATTTTTAATATACTTTTAATTTAACATAGCTCTGGGCGCTAAGTAGGTCTATAATTAAAAGTTTAACTTTTAAATTTTTAACGGAGTGGGCGTTGTAGGCTGCCGTAATTACTAACGAGGGTAAAAAATGTGGCTGCGCTAATTTACAAGGGTCAAGCTTGCTACTCAGGTTGAACTTCTCACCGGCTTCTCAATCGCTTCTTCTGCCCACTGAGTCAACCAGCAAGCTTGACTCCGCTGTGCCCACCTATGAACTTCTTGCATAAACGGGCTGCGTTTGATTCGGACCTTATCCTGTGCCTGACATCTGATTGAAAACCACTCAGCAGCCTGACGAAATTGGGACTCTAGGCCCGTGCGACGACCATGGTGGCGACAATGCGAATACGATCAAGCATTGCTTGCGTGAGATGCAGACGATCTAAGATAAAATGCGACAACACTGGCCAGCTGGATTCTCCCTGCGAGAACTGCAAGAAGAGCGGTAGCAATTGTTCCTGGCCCGCCCCAGTTCCGTTGCCATCTAAAAGGCCCATGTCCCCGCTTGACAATAAGCAAGATGCCAGCGTCACGGGCTTTGGGCGGAAACGACCGCGAATGGCTGGCAAGGCCAAGGTGCCAAGAAATAATTGCCACGAGGTCTTGCAGGCTATTCGGTGCGTCGATAGAGGGCGGTGGGATAAGATACTGGCTACTTTTCAACAGCATTTTGCGGTTGAACTCCCATTCATTCACGCGCCGACAATCAAAAGGACGATTTATGGCTTAACCACTGGGCAAGACCAGATGTCTTTTGATACAAGTCTGGTCCTTCTCGGGATCTTGGCATTGGCAGGAAGATACCATCCAGACCTATTACCGCTCGCAGAGCGCATGCTAGACGTCGAACCCGACTCCCGCTACGACGAGAACACACCTCACGACCAACTGGAAGGTCACGCTACTTCTGACTCATTTGCGAGGCTGTTGGATAATTCGCTTGGCTCTTTCCTGAAGGCAACATCTATTGGATCGGTTGAACGCGTCCAGGCCCTCCTCATGCTTGCGCTCTATGAATGGATCTCGCCAGACCACGAAGGCCTTTCAGCCTGGATGCTTATTGGAGCAGCGGGGCGCATGGCGCAAGCACTCGGGCTCGGACACGAGAGCAAGCCAAATCCTACAAGCGAAGAGGCAGCTGGCGAACGAGAGATCAGACGCAGAACGATGTTCAGTTGTTTTATCTTCGATCGTCTCATTTCGTGCGGCAAAGAGAGACCCTTCTTCATACGCTCTGAAGACATGCACATTCATTTGCCATGTGCCAAAGAAGACTTTGATTTGAGCCGTCAAAATCAACAACCATTTCTCTCTAGAAATCTGTCCGAACCCGAGACGCTCCGCGAATGCAGTCTTCTCGGGTGTTTTATTCAACTGACGGACATATGGGGTCGAATTTCCCAGTACACGAACGCAGGAGGTCGTTTTTTCGAGAAGAGTGTCCCGCCTTGGAGTCATGCTTCTTCGTTTTACAAATTGCGGCGAGAATTGGAGACTTTCGGTCAAGGGCTCGATAGCCCGGGCATGTTCTTAACGATGAACACTGCCAACTACTTCCGCCACGAGAACAGTTCAAGCACTTTTGTCCTCTTACACCTCCTGTATTCCCTCTGTACGATAATGATCCATCGCCAGTATCTTCCATTCGTCCCCATCAATTGCCAGAAGCCGAGCGGTCCACTAGACGAGCCAACATTTCCGCAAAACGCGGTCCCTTTTGGATTCTGGGAGGAGAGTGCCAGCGAAGTATTCGGAGCAGCAGAGACTGTTGTTTCTTTGATCCGCTTGTCAGGTGGAAATCTTCCGCACTCGCCTCTCGTCGCATTTGTTATCTATACGGCGTCATTTGTGGCTATCTATGCTAAATACTTTCCGCACATGGATGCCCGGGGCTCCTTGTCCGGTAACCTAGAGCTGTTCAGCCAGGATTCCGGGATTGCATCGAATAGTGCGTGTCGCAGTAAAACTGCCATCATGCTTGACGCCCTGAAAAACATGGCAAAGAAATCCGGAGTGGCAGCAGCGTTCGTCGCAAGATCTGCTGAAGTGGATCAGTACTTTTCCGCTATGGTCCAAGATCACCATCATAATCTCAGGTATCGTACTTCACCTCAGCTGCCAATAGACGGGCAGCTTGGTGTCCGCATGGGAGGTAATACTGGAGGGCTAGAAGAATGGGTGGAAAATTCCGACAGAATGGTTAGCAATAGCTCGATCATCAGGGACGGCTATTCTAATCGAGATCTCAACCAGATGCGCCTCGAAAATCCGACTCGAGAAAAAAACACACAACAAGATGTCTCCGCTCCTCCCGGCGTAATTACGACGCTACTCGAAGTTCCTCCTCCAACGGCCTCAGAGTCACAAAATCAACAATCTACACCGGCCAACGAGAAAGTGTTGGGCGTCGAGGACCATATGCAACCTCCCCCATTGACTTTGGTACCCACGCATGTTACGAGCGAGGACCAGTCCGCATTATTAGGAAGCACATATGCCGACGACTGGAGCTGGGCGTTCCTTCACGACATGTACCTGGGAAGTGTTTCGTTCGATCCGGAGGATGTTTAGCTTAGATCAAGTTTATTACATGGAGCATCCAGAGCACGCACGTTCGGTGATCCATACGAACCTCCAAACATCCATATGTGCTGGAACCATTGCTGGGTACTTAACTAGCTTTTGATCACAAATTCACAATCAATTTGTAGAGAATGGAAGGCCAAAAGCGTGAGCTCGCCTTCAAGATTGTGCCTGACTGTCACATTACCCGATACCACCACTTGCTGGCAAAGACATACATTTGTGGCAAGACTTCCGTAAGCTAGTTTAACATGATTTCAAGGTCAATGCCAAAACTTCTATAGTGTTTCTACTATTACTAACCAATGCAGGTGGAATCATTCGTCAATCCTCAAGAAACATCAATTCGAAGTACATGGCTTTGCCGCAGTAGCTGTTTCAGTTCTTAAAGCACCTCGATGCTAATTGTGGTGTTGATAGCATCCATACCATTGGATGTTGCTACGTCAAGGCTGGGATAACACCAGCATGCGATGGCAATGATTGTATACACAACCTAAAACGTTTTAAGCGATCGCTCACTTTCACCTAAGAAGTAAACTTACTACAAGCAAAGTACCTTCGAGCAAGTTTGATTCTCCATCCCGCAGAAAATTTCCCACGACGAGAATCGATAGGACGAGAAGAGCTATCATGAAGATCTCAAAGTTGAGATCCGTTGGTTTCCCCAGTGCCCATCCAACCAAAATGACCAATAGCCCATCGAAGAGAGCCGGATGGATGGAAGAAGCTAGGCAATGATAGAGTGCAAAGTTGATGACCCTACCTATAAGTAGCTGACAGTCTTAGGTAGTATGATTCCTGGTTGTCCTGCGTGAACTTTGTTACCAAGCTTCATCAATAGCTGCCAAATGCTCCGCTGCTTTCTCCACCAAAGGAGGTAATAGAAGTCCTAAGAATCAGTCCGGGACAGCGCTCTGAATGACATGTTCAATGCCTCGGACTAGGAAGATCAGAAGAAGCGTCACTAGTACTAGTGATATGAGCAGACTTTGTTACCAAGCTTCATCAATAGCTGCCAAATGCTCCGCTGCTTTCTCCACCAAAGGAGGTAATAGAAGTCCTAAGAATCAGTCCGGGACAGCGCTCTGAATGACATGTTCAATGCCTCGGACTAGGAAGATCAGAAGAAGCGTCACTAGTACTAGTGATATGAGCAGAGCGATTATAGATTCGGTCAAGGTGAACTTGGACTTCTCCACATCCGCTTTACGATCAGCGTCGCGTTGCTGTTCAATATACTGTGTTGACTATTGGCCTGATACCAGACGTAAAGTAGAAAGGCAACAACGAGAGCACTCGAGATTGCCTGACTAATGCGAAGGACGTCGGCCTGAAGAGTGCCCACAGTGAAATCCTCGTGCCTCACCCATATTCTAGGGAGATTGGAAATTGTCTCGGACTTTAGGGCAGAGTACAAGGCACTGGGGATTAAAAGTCCGAAGGCAGCAACTTAAAGTAGTCCGATGCCAATCTCAGACACAATAGCATGGAACTTTTGGCTCCCATGGCGGATTCCCCCGAAAACAAAGCACAAACCAAGACAAAGTAATAAGTTGGTCAAGATGCTCCCAAGGATTGCGGCTTGGATGAGGGGGACGCGATCATTTTCAACACCGCTCTGTTGAGACGCGGATGTCTCGTGCTTCAGAATAAGCACAATGAAGAGAAGAATCTCGGTAATGGATACAAATGTCGTCTCGATTAATATACCAGCGACCTTGAGCATCTTCCGGGCGAATTCCTGTCCGGAAACCCCCAGGACATTCGCTGACGGCACGACAGCCACATAGGCAGTCGTAAACTTGGAAAGATGCAACCCAGGCAAGAGCTGAAACACGACGGCAATATCTACAATGGGCCAGAGTACGTTAACCAACATTGAGGCAGTACATGAGCTTCGCCAAAGCACACAGAGGAACTGGCGGATGTGGAATTCGCTGCGTGCACTTTTGCCCTCATGTGCAACGCGTCTTGAGATTGAGCGGTGTGCGACACGAAACGCATTCATTAGAAGAAGCGGGGTTGATTCATGGCTGTGCTCCACGACACCTTGGATACCTTGAGCAGGCAATGCCGAGGAGTTGATTCTGTGATTGCCCGCCATCTATGGGAGGGGTTTCCAAGGGAACCAATTATGTCTTGTGAAAATCAACAGCGAGGTGGAGCGAACTATGTGTTGATTGGCGATAGAAGATACCCAAAGCCGTAGTTGCAGAAGCAGCCTCAGAGGTGAAGAACAAGAAAGAGATGTCACGAAGAGGAGCCCTAGCTCAAGGAGCAGATAGGAACCAATATATAAAAATCTTGGCATGGCAAATGCTTGGCACCACTTGTAGAATCCAAAATGTTGCTCACGACCCTTGCTTGTCATGCACTGCCACGGGACGCCAGTGCGTGACTAATTTCCAATGCCTCCTTGCACATCACAATCCTCATGAACCATCCGTTAAATTACAGAGGGACGAATTCACCGCGTTTAGCAGAAAGGACTCTTTTGAAACAGACCTGTACTTATAATAGATGGCCACATTGTTGGGTAGCTAATCGTACCATAACTCGGTTTGTTCTACGACCACAAAAAGCGCAGGGTGTCTGTTCCAACAGGCTACTTATCCGCATGTAGCGCTGTACTGTTCTTGTTTCTTCGGCATGGTCTACTTACTGATTGATATCCGGGTAAGCAAGTGGTATAGTGGTTTCGATACATGTGGCACTTAACAGCTCACTCGATCTATGCCCTCTGTCGCTCTTGGGAGACATAAAACGAGGAAAGAAAATGCAAAAACGCATAGCTTCTGGCCTTGCTCGCTCAGACAGTGGTGTAGTTAACTATATCATAAGTTCAAATACAATGTCGTGATAGTCGCGATATGCATCGTTCACTTAGAGATGACGGGCTCTCACGGGGAACGCTCTTGTCTGCAGTGACTATAAATTCATCATGACTGGACTTAAACCATAAGTAAAGACCAGGCATGGCACACCACATACCCGAGCGTTCACCTCGTTAGCTTTGGTCCTCTTTACGGTAGAATCGGCTGAAAGGCCGGATATTTACGCATGGCCAAATAGGTTACAGGAGGCTTGTTAATTCCCATGGTCTTTGCACTGACTCGAGAGCTGAGCGCCGCTCTCTGACCCCACCTGATGCCGGCAGTTGTGGACGCCCGCAAGCCGGGGTTCTGGCGTTTCCCCGCAGTCCAACCGCCGTGGAGCAGAAAGTCTCCTTCCCCCGCGAGTATTGCGCAGCCCAATTCTCCAAGAGATTGTGCCTCGCTGTGCCATGCAAAGACAGGGTAGGCTTCTCTTGACCCTGACAATGTGACCAAATGTTGCTAGATGGACCAAGAAGTAGTCACCGGTCAGCCGCCATGAGTCAACACCTACCTGCGAATCATGCTCTGCATCGAACGTTTAGGCTACTCCTCCATGTTTCTAATAACGGAGATAAATGCTCTCGTTTTACGCTCGGAACCTTAAAGGGAACCAGGGAAGCGTCAATGTGGCGGCTACACGCGGAATCAACTTCTGTCAACATCAGACGATGTTTGATGAGGAGACAGACGCGAAACTCTGAATGAAGCCTGGTCTTGTGACCAACTGTCCCTTCACCAGCTGTCCTATTTCTTCCATCTCCATCCCAAGTGGTGTGGCGAAATTACCCTCATCGCTTTCCAAACCTCCCTTCGGCCCCAACACAGCTGCGCCTTCAGTACTCGGCCCAGGCAGGTACCTCATCGAACCATCACAGGCAAGTAATCATCCTAGTCGGTAGCTTTGACTGCTTTCTGGGCGTCGCATCGATAGCTGACTCACCTCTCAGAAGCCATTTAGAAGCAACACAATCACGAGACGATTACCACGTTCGTTTGAGTCAACACTGCAAGATGTCAGAAAGTCCCACCACTGCTTCGCGCAACCAAAGAGACCCTGGTAGTCCAACTATCACGGGCATTCCGTCCATTTTAACAGTTCTTCGCGAGCCTGAGTCCTTCTCAACGATCGACGACAGACGAGGGCAACAGTACCGTCAACAGTCTCCAGAGACTGCCTCCAAGTTAGCGCGTGAGACCCTCATCAGCATGTGTAAGACAATTGGCCTGGTCGGGGCACAGCTTAACAATGGGACGAATGACTCCGACTTCCAGCTCAGGCAGCTCATTCATTTAGCACGCAATATAACCAAGCGGCTTGACAGTCCTGATCCAACCTCATCGCTTTCCAAGCCTCCCTTCAGCTGTTTTTATGTGCTTGGTCTGAGTGTCGGAAAACAGCAGAGTATTCATCACCATCATGTCAGAAAGCCAGCAGCTGGAAGGATCGCTGACGTTTCAGGAAGGCCTGCGACATGTTCCGGCACAGTCATCCATGGAGAATTGGCTTGCAAACTGGACAGGGAATCGTATAGCGGCAGCCAAGACTCCAAAAGAAACGACATTATATCTACATTTCGAAACCTTGAGAAATCTTTGTCTCGACAGATGAGTTATCAGTAAATCGTACAGTCGTGAACATGTCTCGCTGACGTCCCGTTGATATGTCGAGTGCTCACGCATATAAACACTGACTCGTATACTGGGTTAGCCAACTTCGTGAATGTAGACTCGGGCTCGTTGCCCAAATATTCCTCTTTTTGCTCAGCTGCTTGTTGCTCAAAGACCCTGCTCCGTTTAGCCTTAATTACTTGGTAATCGAAGACTTCGACCGTCCAGGAATGCAACATGTTATGTTGCTATAACGGAGTCAAGAATTCAGCGTCGTCGTTGATGTATCGCCAGCTAACTTGAGTCTAAGAGGAGCGTAATGTCTTTAGTGTCTTGCGAAGATGAACGGCACTAGATTTACGAAACGACGCCATCAAGCGAGCTGAATTGTCGATGCGCTTTGCGTGACTATCAGCAAGCGCATAGATTTATTGTGCTTCGTGATCTCCTTCTACTCGAGTTCTAACATCTGCTACATAACTCATTTTGCTCTGACCTCCATTTGAAGAATCAGTGTATCCAACCAAGAGCTTGAATGCTTAAACTTATTAACGTACGCGAGGTCGCCGGATCTTAAACGGGCCTACAGTGTATAGTCTTGGAAGTATTGCATAATGCATTGAATCTATATCTGACGGACTCTTCAATGCCATCTACTTCAGGATGTTTACATTCGGAATGGCTCAGCCATAGACGCTGTGTATCACATCTGGTTCTTTGATGCTGTAACATATGTGTGTTGGCTATTTCAGACTGTTTCTCTCTCAAGCTTCCAATAGATATTATAGACAGGTCACGAGGAACGTTCAGTGATGTGTAGGAAGCGTATTCCGAGGAGGTGAAGCTTGGAAGGCCCCAGCACGTCTGATGAATGCCTCGAACGTCTTTCACCATGATTGAACATCATAGTCCAGGCCTCTAAATCAGCAATGGGGCTCAAAGTGCACGGTACTCCATCCCTTCAGTTGTGTTCCGAATGTTTCTTGCAAATATATCCTGAGAACTGACAGACTTGAGTTGATTGGTTGTACCTGGTCGTTGATTTTTTTTTGAATACCAAAATGACCCATTGTCTGAGACTTCGGTCCTTGTATGGCAGTTGTCCGGGTAAAGGAGCTGTATGTCTAATATGACAGGTATGTTGGCTATCCTACTTGCATTCTACTTAAGCCCAGGGAATCTGGTTTAGCAGGTGATTATAAACGAGAGCTGTAATAATTTCACAGTATTTGTTGCGACCCTACTGTTCTATGGTTTACATGATGCCTCTTTGCTCCACGATTCTCACGGCGACTGTCTGTCTGACAATGTTTTAGAGCCGTTGTATACTTCCATCATAGTCCTGACTCTTTCTGGGCCAGAGATTCGCGACTACTAGCTGAGGACAGCTAGGAAGTTGCATTTCATATCATGGTGAGTAGAATTTTGTACCCAAATCTCAGCCATTTCGCGAGTGCAGCAGAATGCTTTTCTTAACATGCGTAGACTGTCAATGCAACTCGCAAAGCACCGCCAGCGTGCAGGCTGTCAATATTACTCGCCTAGGAGCCTAAGCCGCGAGAGTAAGGCTGCCCAGAATATGGAGATAGAAGCCATGTACATGCCAATAATCACACGTGTCTAGTCCATCCATGGGTGCTGGTAGGAGCGTGGGACATCTACGCGGCTACAAGATGCAAGTTTGACGGTGTTGCAAAATAAAGCTGTCAAAGCGGGCTTCATCTCAGAAAAACAGAATATCGAAAGAAGAGGAGATTTATGCATTATGCCGGAACTGACAAAGTGAGGCGAAGAGTCAAAGCATTTGGGAAAGACAAGAGCGACGCCGCGCCATCGAAGCTGAAAGCTTTGACGTTCGCTCAGCCATTCGCCCTTCGTTCCAGTAGGACCTTCCAGCACTGAAGTTTAATTAAGGACGAAACAAATACAGAAACAAACGCTCTTCTATCACGTTGATGTAACTAAATATGGTCGAATAATGGCCCGTGTATCCATAACCATCTGGGGCCGCTGTCATAGCTTGAGCTACGTCTCGGAGAGAAGCCAGGGGCAGCAGGGAGTTCCTAACTTCATCCTCTGTCGATGAAGACATTATAAGACTTCCTAACGGTAACGTCGGGCAAGCAAGCATAAAGATATGCGAGCCAGTTTTTAAATTCCAACTTACTTATGACACGCTACTTATCCGAAGCCCGCACATAGCATTTCAGTCACCTGAACATTGATTTATGCAAACTCATGCTAGCAACGTTCCTCAATTTCCCTGCCTCGATGATGTGCAGTTCCCGTGTCTGCATGGCTTTTGAGGCTACAGAGCAAGTAAGAAGCCAAAAGTGCGCACTGGTCGTCTAGTGCCCTTTCAGACTGATGAAGACGGGGCGTGTCTGGCAGTGACTCCGGGTACCTGGCATTAAAACAAGAGCAATGATTCTACCAAACAACGATTGCCGGCGTGAAAGAAATACTTGCCGTAGCTGGTTGTTTGTTGTCCACCATTCACACCGAGATTAGGCTGCATTGCATGTCGATCTCATGCTTAACCGCCGCGTTTTAGATGCCTCTTTAACGCTCGACTTGGTTAGTGGAAGACACATCACTCAACCACATCTTGCCCATCAAGGACATACTTCAGCTTGGATGAATAAGAAAGCTCAGATAGCTTTGGAATAACGAGTTCAGAGTTCAGTCAGCATCACTCAGAACAAGAATGGAAGAGACTGGCCCCGGACGCCTGAAAGATGGCTGACGCTGAGAAGAATGGATAAAACTGGGACGAGCTGCATGAACTTGACGTAGAAGTCTTGTTGGCGCACGACAAGCCCCAAGAACGGTCAGAAAGTCATAACTCATCCTCGAAATCTCGTACGTGAGCACATCCGATTTCTCCGCAGCAGGCCTATCTTTGCGCAGTTGTGGCTGTCGTGGGACCGGTAAGTTCTGTCGGACTCTATCAAGCGCGGTCTCGAGTTAAGTTTTCTTCCACCGTCCATAAGCCAGTAAGTCTGTACATGAAATGGTGTGCGACATGACCAAGCTGCGGCATGCACCTTAAGATGATGGTGGTGATCGTAATATTTGGAGGAAACTGGTGGGGAAATCTGCGAAGTTTGGACTGACAGCTGACGTTTACCCCTATGCCGCCAGAGGCTTAAGATACGGCATCAATCAGCCAGCGCTGATGCGACGAAGTCAGCCTCCTTGAATTGCAAAGTTCACTCAACGTGAGATACTTTCAATCTAGAGTCTGGAATTCCAGTGCAGTGAGAGTGTAAGTCAAGATCTAAGCTGAGTAACGAAATAGAGATTCACTCGAGCGGCCGCCAAGTCTTGAGAGCTAGCGTTCCCTCAATTGGCCATAAGGCAGCGTACGACGGGCATTAACAAGCATGAAATCACTTGATTCAACCAAAGAAAAAAGGATCTGATATCATTTAGAAAGTTTTCTACTGAAGCAGCGAGTATCCCAGTCGCACCAACAGCTGATAGAGTGGACCGGTGATGTAGGTAAGGAGTTACCGGGCTAGCTGCTCTGCTTCGGGGAACGACTTTGAAACTCGTACACATGAAGAAGTTCAGACGGTCCCCGTTGGAGAATTTGATCAAGGTTGCCTTGATTTCTTTGCCAGCCGCTTTCAGGCCCTGTCGAGCCGCGCACATCAGGATGGGCGGCGGTGCCAACAACCGGTCTCCGCCACCGGACTGTGCATCCAGACACTCACCTCATTGGTTGAAGTCTCTACATAAATTGCCTTTTGAGGAGGCAGATAGCATAATATACTTTGGGTAGCACGAACTGCTCATGCTAAACATCCTCGATGAACGAACTATTGGAGACGGAGCACCGGAATGATGCGATCCATTGGGGAAGGACAAAAGTAGTAGGTAGAGTGTGAAGAAATTGGTCAAGCAACGGACCATCGCTGTCGAAGGTATGCAGAGACGACTACTTAAAGGATGTTCTCTTCGACCTTTATCAATGAATTTTCTTTTTCATTCATCACCATCACTCATATTTCGCCCTTGGTCTTTTCTCGATCTAATACCTCTCACTTGCAAAAACGGCTCACAACAACATATTATACACCACAAGTAAAACATCACTGAGAAACCTCGCTCTAGTAATATTGTTAGCTACACAATGCGCTTCTCCAAGTCTCTTATCATCATGGTCGCCGCGACCATGGGGGCGAATGGCGCGCCGTCTAGCATGGACTCACGCGAGCAAAGGTGCGTGGCGATAATGAACCCGTCGGCCTAGGATATGAAGCTAAAATGACATAGCGCTTTAAGCCAGCCAGCCCTTGTGTCTCGACAGGCTCCCCCAGCTATTCCAGCTGCCGCTCCTCCTGCTTCTGCTCCCGCCCTACAGGCAGAAGGCGGCAAAAACGGAGAAGACAAGAAGAAGGGCGATGGCGACGGAGATCGCAATGGGGGGGACCGTGACGGAGATCGTAACGGTGGTGACCGTGGTGGACGTGACGGAGATCGCGATGGCAATCGAGACTGCCGTGAAGAAGATCGTGGACGTGACAGAGACGGAAGATCGTGCTGTGTGCGAGGAGGACGTGGAGGAGGGCGTGATGGTGACCGCGACGGCGATCGCAAGATTGCTCGCGAGGACCGCGATGGAGACCGCGATGGAGACCGCGATGGAGACCGCGATGGTGATCGCAACGGCGGTGGTCGGGGCGGACGGGATGGCGACCGCGACGGTGACCGTGAGTGCTTCCGGGATGGTGATCGCGGTGGTCGCGGTGGCGATGGCGAAAGACGCCCTCCCCCTCCCCCGGCCGGACCTCCGGGCTTCCCCGCCCCGTTCCCCGCCCCGGTCCAGCCCCGCCCCGGTTTCCCCGGCGCTTACCCCCCTGGCTTCCCTGGCGCATTCCCTCCCGGCCCTCCTCCTCGTGGCCCTGATGGAGATCGAGATGAGGACAAGAAGAAGCCTGCCGAGGACAAGAAGCCCACCCCAGCATAAATTATTATCCCTTGTGGTTGTCCACTGGCTGGGCACACCCACTTCCCGGCTTAAGGATACTTGGGATCTTGAAGGAAGACGTTGGCAGCACACAGAAGGCCTCGTCCATTGAATGCAAACTCAATGCACAACAGTGTGCAACTGGAATGGAGGAATACAGAGACAGTAATTAATCATTGCTAAGTTGTTTGGTTCGATATGAAATACGATGCGTACAAGCTGTTTGAAGAGACACTGCTTTAGTCATTTTTACTTATTGAACTTTTGCGTAGACACACTATTAAGTTCAAGCGCGATAAATTCAAGTCCCGTAGTATTTCGGCCCGTTCGTATGAGGGAACATGTCCCTATCCGAAGGCTCTGAAATGGGGAGGAGGACCTAGGTGTGAGGTAATACTCAATAAGATGTCATGCTCCCAGGTTATCGTTTGGCAGATAGTAAACATCACCAGATTGTTGGCGAATTGTTCCAGGCGACAAATGATCTAACGAGGTACCTCCTCGGCTCCATCAACGAATGGTGGCCGATAGCATTCGGTGCAACCCTAGCCACCCTCGGAGAAAGGGCCAAGCAATCGCTCCCTGAGACAAGGGCTAATCATTCATCTTGACTCTAGGTCAGTGAGGTTCAGGCTCGGCAAGCGCGACATTTGGTAATTGTTGGTATACACGTCAGCAGGGCAGCCTTTCGGCCGGTACGAGGCCAATAATCGTATATTGACTTCGTATGGGGTGGTATGTATAGGAGGAAGTCGGTGGGCAGAGCCCACGAATCCTCCGTGGGTGTAAGTAGGTGGAAGGGTCGTTGGTACGGGCCCAGACAGCCTACCTACCTAATCCTCCTTTTCTGCCTGACATTTCAACAGTAATGAATAGAGATACACAGGAGGGGGTTTGATAAGTATCCAGCATCACACACTCCCATCGGTATAAAGGTGACATTCTGGGGCGCAAAGTATATACATGCCCCTAAACACATGCGGAGCTACAATATGAACAAGAATGTAACATCACTCATCTACCTCGACCGGTAGTTCCTTCCGTGTCTTGGAATCTACCTAGACAGAAGGCCAGCCGCCGGACCACGAAATGACATTCCAGCCAAATAGAGTCTGAGAATCGGCATAGCCAACGTCGGTATTCACTAAGATAGTTAGCCTTGATAGGTGTTGAGGCCAAGATTGACCACTCACAATAATGATAATAGAGGACCGCACCACGCTTGGGATCAACCAAGACGCCTTGGCCACCAGGAGCATAGATTTTGTTATGAGAAGGAAGAAGAAGAGTGCCGCCGCCGGCCAGGCAGCTCTTGCCGCTTTTGTCGGTATAGGGACCATTGACAGAAGAGGCACGACACACGAAAATCTTGTACTCGTTTCCGGGGGTCGGGCGGTTGGCGTCGAGGCCGCAGCAGGAGCCTGAGCTGAAGAAGGCCCAGAAGGTGCCGCTGCGCTCGTAGACGAAGGCACCCTCGACGGGCTGAGGAGCAGTGGTGTTCAGAACGATGTTGTATGGGTTGCCGTTGGCCTTGGTTGCAGCCGCATTCAGAGGCACTTGGAAAATGTCCTGCCAAAAGGAGCCGAAATTCAGGAAGTAGTTGCTACCAGACTTGACGAGCTGAGCATCGATGGCATTGTAACGGCTGCCGGCTGAAGAAGCAACCCCGGTGGCGCCATGGTCAGTCCAGGAGCCAAACTCCATGGTGGTGGAGGTAGCATAACCGATGGCTGAGTTTTGGACGCCAAAAGAGGAGACGGTGTAGTACAGAATGTACTGATCGCCAACTTTGTTCACATCGGGAGCCTATCAAAGACAAGAACAAAGTAAGTATGTACTCTGAAAGGCAGCCATTTTGTCCAGTCTCATTCTGACACCATCCATTGATGGCTATGAGGGAGGTTCAGACCCTTCAATTGGAAGGCTGAGAAAAGTGAAGATACGTAAGAGGGACAAGGAAGGCTGAACCGGACATACCCAGAGATCATCATTGCCCTTTAGGTTGATCTTACTACCCGATGGCAAAGCAGCTCCTTGGTAGGTCCAGGGGCCTACCAAATCGGGAGCCTTCCAAATGCCGATCTTGCTGCCAGTTTCAAAACGAAAATAGGTGCCATCATCGCGACGGACAACGGAAGGGTCGTGACTCCAGCACTGGCCAGAACAGGCTCCCGGATTACCGTAGGCTTGAACGGTGGCACTCAGCAGCCCAGCTGCGAGTGAAAAGATGGAACCGAAGCGCATGATGAAGAGTAACTTGATCGACAGAGGTAAAGAAATAGGCAATGCTATGTAGTGTTAGAAGAGAGTGACTAGCAAAGAGATAGCTTGGAAACTCTTGGAGAAAAGAGGTTCGCGAAGAATTTAACAAAAGAAACTTTAAGGTCAGACGGGGACCGGGAAACGGCTACCACCTCTGGAAGGAACCGAGATCTCGTCATCCGAACTCCATCAGGGAAAGTAGTACACAAAAGTGTACTCCGTTCCAGGCCTGAGGAGCTCAATTGGACCTGGGTTACGATATACACTTCGGCTTGATTGGCGGAATTCAAGCTCGCTGGCTGGGACAGGCCCTTGTGGATGATGGGAGGACGAAGATGGGCAATATACATGGAGCAGAGCCTAGGGTTGACTCGGCCAACGAGATGAAGGACTGGTTCAAGTGGTGCGGTGGACCGATCTTGCATGCCCGGATGATGCCTTGGGCGGGCTGACCGCTGACCTAAGTCACCAAGCAAGCTGCTTACGAACATACGAAGTGTCCGTATCTGACGGGACCTTGGCAAATGAAAGGATAATTGGGCTATGGCGGCTCTAAGCGAGTAAGAAACTGCCGTGCATGCCGTCGTCTGTGGGCAAGAGATAACAAAGTTCAGATTCACAAAACTTTCGAAGTGGGAAGAGATTGTGAAGAGCCGGCCGGACAATGTAAAGTATTGTCTGAACGGAAAGGAGTCGAAAGCCTGGCTGTCCGAATGGTGCGCATGGGAGGATGAGACTGCTCGACAGGGGAATTTGGAGTCATGAAGGGGAAAATTGGGGCTGGTGAGTGCCGGCCGTATGTAGCCTGCAACTCTCTGCATGAGAAGGGGCATCTCAAGAGCAGACGTACCCCGCGACTCAAGTCCCGCCACGACTAACTTCGCACGGAGTATTCGCTCTATTGTGTTCAAGTATCCGTACGGATAGGCTCTATGTGTTGAAGAGTCTAGTACTACAGAGTACCCGAACATCCACATACTGCGTTCGTGAACAGGTATCTGTAGACGACCGCAACAAGCGCGCTCAAACTAAACGGAAGTATTCGCCTCAGGGAGGGGGATTGATAGTGATGAAGTCAATGGAAATTGGAAGGGTTGAATTTTGTGCATTGAAACTTCTCCCAGAACATTCATTACCCTTGAGAGGGTTTGTTGTCCGAAGCTCTCTGGCCAAGACCTTGTCTTTATGCAGGGATGAGACGGAATTCGCCATCCTTGAGCAAATGGGCGAAGGAAATAGGGTAGTCCTGCCCGCCACGGTGGCATCACATTTGGAGCCGAAGGGGGTCCGAAGCGAGCGGCCCAGAGAAAAGGGGGCTGGATTGTGGCCAAGTACACCAGGTTCAGTTCGCCTACCTCTCTTGTGTTGTTTCCTTTGTGATTTGCACTCCCCTTTCATCCTAAGTCTGGTCGTATGGGCCTGTCTGTAAAGATTAAGCTTCATTCTGGTGCTTGATACTCATGTGCAACGATCCATCCATATCCATAGGTTTAAGCTGTAGCCTGTACTCCGTACACGCATTCACCGCCAGCTCCATGTCTCGGTTGTTCGTCCGGATCAACGTGATCAACGCGATCAGCGGTGTCTGTGTGGGCGAGGGAAACAACAAGCCGTGCAAGCTTGACCTGACTACATACCTGTGTACGGAGTAAGTACGCTATTCAGTGGAGTTTGGTAACGTGATGGGCAGAACCCCAGTTCACACGGGCCATGGCAGGGAGCGAGAAAATCCCCGTGGGCCGTCGTCACCTTGGCCTTTGTCAGCGGCTCGGAGGCTTCTGTCTCAAGGTGATGAGGGCCTACTCGACCACGCATGAGGGCGACTTGTGGCGGCAGTCCTGACCTTTGGGAACGGTGCTAATGTGTTGATCAGTTACTGATACCGCCAGTCTCATCATCTGGCTTTCGCATCTAACTCAGACTCGGGAGGATCGGGAGATAGTTTTGGGTTGTGAACTTTGGGTCGTGGGTAGGCGAAACTGTGGGCGACAAGTGGGAATAACGTGGACAGGGCGTGGGTTCAAGGGAGGGAATATTCCGAGCGTCTCTCATAAGATGACAACTCCACTCCACTCGTTGTCGATAGTGTACGGATACGGATACGCTTACGGATAATTCCATATCTATTCCTAGTAAAGGCAGTATCACGCCGAAGCCATTTTGAGCGCCGTGCATAGGCCTGCCCGCTTCCCCTTTCTGCTAAATCTTCGCCGGGTTGTACGGGAATAAGCTAAGGAGGAGAGGAACAGGATGTGGAGGGGACAGTCGGGTGCCAGAACCGGAGACCTCAAGCGGACTGCGCTGGAGGGTTCCGCTCAATCGGCGGACAACCCATGGCTGTCCATTATGGATGTCACCAGCCATTCCCGAATTTACCGGAACTTGCGGCGTGCCAGCCGGGGCTTGACGGAAAAGGGGTCGGCGTCTAGCCACCATTGTCCATTTCGGCCCCCCTCATGTTAGCTCAAGAAAACACATACAGTTCGAAGCTGCGATGCCTCGGCCGCAAGGGGATCATCATTGCATGGCGGCGTTTACCTTATTATGCATTTGTATCTTCCATCTCTACGGACATAAGGTCGTCCTTTTTGCGAGCCCAGTGAACCTACAACGGACATGTCTTTTGAGGCATGATTGTGCTGTCAAAGAAGCCCCCAATCCCAGGGTTCACTCTCGACTCCTCCAGTTCGGACCCTCGATAAGTAGGTGGATGGATTTGAGCGTGAGGGCGAGGCTTGAGGGATTGAACGAGCTGATGGCAACGAGCTTCCTGTTGCGGGCATACCGGGGCCTTGGTGCCTCGTTGGTCTGACGAATCCCTGGCTGCAGTAGGGTTCAAGCGCCCGTACGAAGCTCTCTGAACAGCCGCAAAGAAAGGGCCTCCATGGCGTCGTAGGAATGTGATTCGGAGTGCAGCCTGGTAGAGGTAAAGATATGAGACCCGCCCGGTGGCCGGATTCGCATGTTGGTACGAATACAGCGTCGCAATCACAGGCTTGCAGTGGTGTTGATTCCGTATCTGTGCCAAGTTCTATCCCAGCTTGACTGCGCGGACAATTTACAAAATGCACATGCACCAGTGCCACCAGTGACCGAGCCGTGTATCGAAAGACATGTCTGTCAGGAACGCGTGAGTCGTGGCACAAACTCTACTCCGTACACAGAATACTCCGCACCCGTCCGGTGAGAAGTGTTCACGGCTCACCGGGAGCAGGGCCCATACCTACGCCGGGCCCACTGGTTCGAGGTGGCAGGGCTGTTACTGTCGATGAATGCCATGTGGCCATGGCTGATCGGCATGGACGACGAGAGTCACGGACGTTCTGTGTAGTCAAGGGTCCAAGACTCCAAGGGCCCAGGGCCCGGGGGTGCGGGGAGGTTTTGGGAACCTGGGACACGAGGAGCCCGGCGCACTGGATCTGTTACGTTACCAAAGCTGTCAAAGCTAACATCTGCAAACTAATCGTATAATACAGAGTATCTGTACACATATCTCTCGACTCAGAGTGCATTCAGTCGTCAGTGAGAGTCTCGCCTGTCCCTCTCACACCAGCTATATCAACTTCAGTAGACCATCTGTATCCGTACAACAAGATCGCAATCTGAACCATGCTTACGCAGCTGGTATCGCCGACATGCACTCCTTCCTCCTCCATTATGGAGTCGCTGGTTCCTGAGGCTGCTGCACCATACCGACAGCCCATCCATGATCCTTGGGGTTTCAACTTTCGGTAATCCTTCGAAACTATTTCTGCTTGGACTCGTTCCTGGCGCTGTCCAACCCAGGAGCCATGGGCCGTACGTTAGGGTGAATGTTCTGACGAAATACGCCCGTCTCTTTCGCGCGACGGCGTTCGGAGGGTGTTTTGGGCTTGCTTCATTAGTGCTGACCATGACGTGCCATCTAATGATGGCTGGGACGAAAGCATGGCACAAAGAAACCTTCGTCGACACGTGAGCGGAGGAGCAGACTTTCAAGACCATGAGTCTACATAGGAGCAACTTGGTCAACCATAAGGTATTGCGTTTACCATGGGGTTTCTAGCTTTGCAGCCTCTCCAGTTCATCTTGGAAGAACAACCAGGGTGACAGCCTGGCAGTCTCCTGCGAACTGACAACCACAGGTTTCCCGTCGAGAGTTGGAGTTGGAGTGCAGCTCGCGAACCACCTTATGGGCATGGTGAAATGGTGTAGTGCAGCTAATACGGAGACTACAAATCTGAACGATGCTGCTTTAGGAGCGTCGTTCCGCCGACCTTTGCCTATGTTTTTTGATGCGACCTTTGAGGTCTGTAGGCTTGTCGACACGACGTCTGCGCCTTGAGCACAGTCAATAAACAATGGGGGCGCCAGTCTCCTCTGGATGAGGTGATGGTAGCTAAGGTCATCTGATGTTGCGTTGTACGGATAGAACAGGAAGACTGACACCCCATGTGCAACCCCAACCGACGCGACCAACGCATCGATCAACCAACGCAGCCATCTGGGCCGAGTACATACCGGAAGTGGGATCGACAGCCTCGAGGTGCGGACAAAGAAGCGATGCGGTGGAAAGTCCTAGAATGAGAAACGCCATTACCTAGCGGTCTATACCTACGACCTACCCCGTACACTTATAGCCTACCGGTCTTTGGATCCGGAAGGACTGAGCACCAACTTATCAAGACAATTCAGCCGTGGAAAGTTGACCCGTCACGGTTTTCCACGGTTCACATCAGGAAGCCGAGCAGCGACTCTGTATCCGTACTCCGTACTCCATCCACGCAAGATGAAATCCTAGCAGGATGGCCAAATTGGCCTGCATTAGTGCGACTGCATCTGCAAGGGGCATGACCTTTGTGATCGCTGATAAGGGGCCAAGGGCGTTGGGCTTGCAACGGGTTACTGTTAATGAAGACCTTCAGACTTCTCTGCAGCGTTGGTAGTTTTAACTTTTTTGGTTGTTTTTATTTCTTTTATTTCCACGGGAGATGGGGGAAAAGGGGTCCAAGAATGAGGCATAGCGCATGTGGGCAATACAACCTAGAAACATCACGCCAAGCTTAGGTATGTGGGACCGTAAGTACTGGCTCGCTAGGTAGGGCATCTAGATTATGATGCCCGTTGCAATTCTCACCAGCCCTCTTGTGTTCGCTGTTTGCCTGCACCGGCATCGTGATTGCTCTTCGGCTGATCATCTGGATGGGCAACAATCTTTATTGGGTCTCAGTGTCTTGTGCCCTGCGTATCCGTGGTGCGCCGTACATTTCTCGGTACAACCACGACGACGAATGCCTACACTGTGAAGCAAAGTGGACAAAATAGCTCGCCGCGGGTCGACGACAAGGGTGTGACCCGCCATGTTGCATCTTCGGCGACGGCAACACAGTCCTTGGAGGAATCAGGATACGACCCAAAAGTCTGGGTTTGATGGACTTTAGGCGAATTCCTGGAGTGCTGCCCTCGAGGAACTATTCCTATTGAAACATTGCAGTATCAACTCGGGGTTAGGTAGGCATGAAGGTGGATGGCCCATCCGACGGGAACCTCGGATGGACGGATGCATCGCAGTTGGGGGCCAATCTCGGACCAAAAGAAGGAGTCGACGAGCAATTGTCTCTGTCCAAATGTACTTCGGATTCCGTACGGAGTACATTGTCCTTTATACAGAGTATTCGTCCATGCATTGGATGCCTCGATAACTTCTTTCCTGAGGGCGAGACTCCAGCGAGTCCAGTCAGCAGAGTTCACGGTGATATTGACATGTAATCTCCAGTGCGCGATAGTTGTCACCTACATGGCAAAGTTAAAAAACGAGACGCGACGATCCATGCCATGCCATGCCCATAGGTCCATGCCATGCCATGCGAAGAGCCCATGTCATGATGATCTGGACTCTGGAGTGACAATCTAGCGTTGTTCATGCCTACGGATACTGATAGGCACGACAAGCTGCGCCTCTGTCAGAACTTTTCAGAGTTTCTCCTTCCCAATCTCAAATGTCATATCGTTCAGTCAATCGAATCAATCAGCGAGGCACAATCAATCGGACTGGGAGACCAGGGTCTGGATCCTTCTGGTCGCCAAGCGTGGTGCACTCTCTGCATGTTGCGCGGTCTTACTGCAGCGCCGGGCTCTTGGCCGCCACTACCCTTGTTCCTGAGCTTTACCAGGGCCCCTTGTAGGGCAAAATCACCAATGGTTCCAATCCATATCCAAGAAGACTGACTGTCAGTATCAGTGTGTCATCTCGGGCTCATGAAGGGTTGACGGTAGTTTTGGACAGTCTGCCGAACCTCCATGGCATCATTGAAGGCACTCGTTTCTTGTTGTGAGGTGATGCAAGGATGTAGGTACAATTACACCCTATGATCCCTACTCTGTAGACCGCCCGAATGAGCTCTTCCCTATTCTGACTACCTTCTGGAGCACGGGGTATATACTACAGAGTCACAGAGTGTAAGGAGTGAAGCTGGCAAAGACTCCTGGAGTTGGCTGCTGGCGTTGACGCTTTGTCCTAGCTGGGGTATCCCCCATGAATCTACCTTGCAGCTGCCAATCCCTCTTCCCTGGGGACGCGACATTGGGACAAAGAAACCTTTGGTAAGATGGGGGCACGAAAGCTGCTCATTTGGACTGGGTACGATTAAGCGCAGACGAAGACGAGCTGAGCCAACGTTGAGCAGCAGATCCCTCCCGAGTCCCAAGTCACGGATAAGCATGACATTCTGTGAATATATACTGTGCATGGCGGCACCCGGACACGCAAGGTGATCGGTTAGGCCAAATGGGCTGCAGCTCTCGAGTTTGCAGCACTGCAGACGCGGACGGACGTGACGGAGGACGAGGGTAAGGACGGCGTAGGATACTTGGTTCAGTAAGGGCTGTGTCCGTATGGCCGGCTCCTAGCCAAGGCGAGCAAGGCCATGTAAGGTCAGGCAGGGCAAGGTACATGCCAACGGGCGTTTCTCAGGTTGGTCCAGCCGCAGAGGAGACAAGCCGCGAAGGAAAGACGCGGAGTCTGGAGTCTGGAGCAGGTGTGATTTGAATATCTGGGGGAAATGCCCCCTTCATTGTGGTCTTGCGAGTTCATCTCAATGATAGTGCCAGTGTCAGCTTACCTTGGTCCGCGTGTGACCCGGTGTCTGGCTTTGGTTTCTGCTGCTTTGTCTCTGGTTCGTTATTGTGTTTCCCTCTTTGCAGGTTCTCCATCTTACCTCACGACTGGATCAGCCACGCGCGGACTTGACGAAGCTGTCCGAGAACCGAGTGATTCCCATACTTCACCGGCCGACCGAACGACAGCTAGCTGCGTACAAACGGGCGCTCTCCACGCAATCGCCACGACACTACGGATGTTAAGGGATCCTTCGAGCAGAATCCGAAACTTGAGCGGCGGCGCGACTCCCATCCGGGAACGACGATAATCTGTTGGCTCTCGATCTTTTCTGTCGGCTATCACTTATAAATCGAGTACGCACCACATCGTCTTGGCATCGTTCGGTCGTCGAAAAATGAATTGAACGGGTGCTGCTGCAAAGAGGTCTTATTTGTGATCTTGGCATGTTATCCTTCTTTTCACCTACGGATTACATCGCTCTCATCCCACAATTCTCATCTCACCAGAACGCATTTGAGTACCTATCTGGCTGGGGTGTTTAAGGATCAACAATTTGTTTTTTCGTTGGTTTTTCTATTTGTTTTTTTCGTTAACGTGAGGAATCTCTTCTCTTTGCTGCCCGAAGCCACTCTCCTCTTACCACCCTGCCTTCTGCATCATGCTGATGAGTGACTGCGTTTTAGTCCCGTCATCCGAGATCCCATTCATTCATCTGAAGGGCAATACATTGAGAGAAGGAAGACGACCCATTCCTGGATACACAAGCTGCGGCAGAAAGAAGACATTCAACGGGCAGATCAAAACAAAACGCAACAGACGCAAAAGAGGAGAGGGGATACCGGTAGACGAGGAGGGAAAAAGAACAAAAGGAGGGAAAACTCGGCCGCATCCGCCCACCTCAGCGGGCGCAACAGACGCACCACAACCGCTCAAGACACCCTAAAAGGAACCGTCATTTAGGGAACGACACGCCACAGGAGCAGCGCCATTGGCCCTCCCCGGAACCTTCTACCCCAAATCGGCTGGGTTCCCCCGCTGCCCGCACCTCCTCACCTCAGTGCTCACCAACTCACTCTCACTCTCACTCTCACACTCACACTCACTCTCACCCTCACATTCGCCCACCCCAACGCTTACACTCACCCCTTCACCTTCCTTACCGGGCTGCAACGAATCCTTACCTTGCCTTCCCTTCACTTTCCTGCGCGGTACCGTACGGAGTATTCACGTTGGTTACCTTACCTTAGCTTATCGGAGTGAGCCCCCCTTACTGCTCATTTCGACTACGTACCGGGGCCCCCAAAGGTACCTTACCTTACCTTACCTTATCTGCCCAGCACCTTGCCCAATTAGGGCAATCTGTATTTGAGGTACACTGTACCAAGTACATCCCGTACCTTCCCTACCTTTAAGGTACCTTACTCTGCAGCAGTGCACCCTAGGGCCTAAGGAACGGTAAGGCAAGCACCTGCCAGGTTCTTTTAGGGGACTTTTGAGTCGCCTTATCTTATCTCGACTCTGGGAGGTGGGCTGCCATTCAGTCACGTCTGTTTGTCTGTCTGTCTGTCTGTCTCCGTCTCCGCCTACGCCTCCTTCTCCTTCTCTCTCTCTTCCTCTCCCAATTTCAATACTTCCTCTCACCCTACGAACGTCCTTTGTGCAGCCATTCTCACGTCTTGGACATCGACATCTGCGGCAGCTGCAGTCGCTACGGCGTTCTTCCCACCCCAAGCACATCCCGGGATACCTGTAATTCGTCCAGACCGGGACTGGCCCATCCACAGCGCGTGAGCGGCTCCTCGTGAGCAAGGCCTCTTTCCCGGCAGATTCACCCGCCGACATGTCCGGCCGAAGCGCCTATGTGCGCAAGAAGATCACTCAGGCCGAGAAGGAAAAGGCGAGGGCAAGATCAAATACCGGCGGCATAATAGGAGAGTATGAAGACCTCACCATTCCCGAGTTTCCGCTTCCCCAGACCGGCGCTTCTTTACCCGTTGGCACCGGCATCGGGACCACAAATGCACGCTTCCTCAAGTTCTCAGAGCCTCCCCGCGACATCAAGCCAGGAACACCAAGCATAGGCAGTGGCAGTGGAAGCAGTGAGGGCGGCCGTCGTGACGGGAGCTCCGGCCCCCTCGATGACTTCGCCTATGCCCGCGCCCGGAGACCCACCATCAAGACGGAAGACGTCTCGGGCATCGAAAAGTCGGGTTTGCGAAGCAGGCTGGACAAGAAGAGCGAAGATGTACGGAGAGGTCTGGCCAAGACTTTCACCTTTAAGCGCAAAGACAAGGAGCCCGACTTCCGTCCCGAATCCGTTGCCACTGTACGCCCGGGTCAACATCAGAACCCAACCCCAATGTCGCCCACCGAGCTCGACTACACCTACGAACAGTTCAACATGGATACGATGCAGCAGATGCACATGCAGCGGCAGATGCACATGCAACATCAACAGCAGCAGCAGCATCAACAACACCACATGCAGCACATGAACCAACAAATGCGACATCAGGATATGGATCTGCCTACATCGCCACCCCCAGCATCGAAGTTGCCTCCTGTCCCGACCACGCCGCCCATCAAGCGATGGATCGGCGCCGGAAGACCTGTTCAGAGATGGAATAAGCTGCGCAAAGACCCCGAATTGTGGGATCCGAATGGAGATGTTCTCGTCTTCTTCGGGCACAAGGGCCAAGCCCCGCGGCCGAACCCATCCTTTAGGCTCTCCTCACATATAATCGAAGCGACCGAATCGAGGTATCTCATCACGTTGCTTCGGGAGGGTACAACCGAGGAGGACATCTACATGCCGCCATCTCCACAGGGCGCACCACCCATGCTTCGGCCACACATGCGCGGTGGGCAACCGACACCGCCCATCTCGGAGGATCTCGGCGAAGCTGATGGACAAATTTCGTACGAAATGTACTTCCCAACTCCCGCAAACATGACCAAGACGGAACAGCTCAGGAGCCAAATTACAACAAGAAACGTCTTTGCCTTGCTTTACCACGCATCTCTGGTCGGGTTGATGCTTCACCAGGCTCTCTCCGACCTCCACATGCGATTGGATGCCTATATGCCACCGGACGCGGACAACGTCGGTATGATCCTGAATTATCTGTCAGCACGGGGAATCGACGATGTTCGTAACGACCCGGAAACGGCTGTCAGCTTGCTGGCATGGTCCGAAGGGTCAGCTGTGCGGTGGGAGGAGGGCTGGCGGGAGAGTTTCCTACACTGCGCCGGCATGTACAGCCAGCTGGAGACATGCGCCGACTTCAAAGACCTCACGCCCATCACCCGCGCGCTCCTGGAGCGAGCATGCCTGGAGACGCAGCTCCGCGTACAGGCGGCCGAAGAGAGACTCGCAGAGTTCCAGTATGGCGACATGTGGCCAGCAGGTGTTGGTGGTCAGGCAAAGGCTGCTGCAGACCGTTTACAAAAGTTCTTCTTGAATCACTATCTGCACTCACAGGGAGCGTGGCCGCCGGCGCAGACAACCGGTCTTCCAGACTCCGACGGCGAGGACATGTGGCTAACAAGGAACGTGGCACAATCATTGCAAAAGGACTTTGGGGCGCTGTACGACTACCTTGTCAACCGCGATATTGTCTGGGACATGTCTGAGGCGCGATCAGGGCGCAAATGGATGATGCAGAGTGAAAAGGACAAGGGATTTGACGCCGACATCGACATTCCCATCACAGACATTCTCGTCGAGTTCGATAACAAGTTGCGGTTTCCACACATCCCTCACCCATACCCCATGGTACCCGAATCCATCCCGCCCGCGCCGTCAAAGGAGAGCTCTATGTTCAAGAAGAAGACTGGCGCAGGTGCCAACAACGGTGGCCGAGCGGGTGCCATGGAACGACGAGTTCAGTTGGCGTACACCGAGGCCACAAACATTTATATCCTCGGTTCCGATTTTACACAATCGGATCTAATCGACGCCTTTGTGAAATTCGAAAAGAGCGACAGCGTCACTGAGGTTGACCCGGCCGTAGCCCGACGGGGACGTTGGGTTCTGATCTACGGTATTCTTCAGACGCTGGCGAGCGTGTCAGTGGACGCCCCCAACGTGCGATACCGCGAGGGGGTGCCGTATCATCTGTCTCCGCGCCTCAGAGGCACAAGGGTCCCTCCGTGGAAGGGCTCCAGCACGACAGACGAGGCATCGCACGAGCTGTCTCACTGTTGGATGGTACAGCACAGCTGGAACACGCCGAACAACAGCGGCGCCGAGAGTTCGGGCGGATCAGGCAACACCAGCCCCGTGCATAATCTCGCTCGCCCTTTTGCGTATCCACGCGCCCCGGCTTCGACAACATCGCGGGGGTCTGGGTATCAGACGACCGGGACCCGTTCTATTCACTCGACGGGTTCAGCACCTCACTTCAGCTCAGCGTACAGCGTCGTTAGCGAAAGCGACACCGCCAGCAGCATCCGTACACCTGCATCCAGTCGGCCAGGTACAAATATGAAGAGAGCGCAGTCGCGAGATAATGTCAAGGGACTGGGCGGCGGGCCGGGAAGCATGCGCAGTGCCACCACCTTTGGCGGCACCGGCGCCGGCGGCGTGGATCGAGGAGAGGCAATGGAATTACCTATTCGAAGACGTGATTTTAGCGCCTTTTTGGATGCCAACGGCTCGCACGGCAGTTATGCGCGCTCCAGCGGCGCCTCGCAGCACGAGCAGCAATCGCTTCCCTTGTCGAGCAACATCACGGGGTCAGGAGGCTTCCTCGCACTCGACGACACGTTGGATAGGAAGAGCGCGCGGGGTGGGTATAATCAGGGTCGAGTGAAGCGCGAGGGGTCTGAGACGGACAGCATGGCGCCGCGAATTCGGGACTTTGATTTGGATGTGATTGATGATCATGAGCCGTGAGGTGGACGAGACCTGGCCAGCCAAGCCATTTTGGTGATGGAGCTGGCGTGATGGGACGGATAAAATTTTGTATATATTCCTGGGCTAGACCACGTCATGGCTTGGAGAGGGGAAGCGTTGAAGAGAACTAGAGCGGGACGAGGGCATGATGCAGCAAGCGAGATATGTCATCAGGTAGCCAGCTGTAGATTTTTTGGGTTGGCTTTGAGTTTTCTCTTTTGGGGGGCGGGGGGATGGACATAAAAGTTGAAGATAGGATAGTTTAGTTCGTACCTTTTGTGTTGATTGAGTGATACCCGCTAATTTTACTTGTATTATTTTTGGTCGACTGAGACACGAATCACTCTCTAATCAATACACCAGTGGGATCTACCTATGTTGAACAGATACATAGTGAGAGCATTAGAAAGTTAGGTGTGGCTGAGGTGTGATGTTGAATAGACTGTAGGCTGTCTGGACGCTCCTCAAGATGGTCTGTCCCAAATTGGTTAATGGGTTGGAGGTCAGAAGAGGGATGATTGGGATCACGGGGACTGTGGCACAAGGGAAAGGCGCAATTCAGAAGTATTTGTTGGTCATCAGAATCGGCGGCGGCAGCGGTGACGTGGTTTTACCTAGGTAGGTGCTTTACTTAAGGTAGATAGGTATCTACACTGCGAGGTGACCAAGGTTGCAATTCCCATGGGAAAGTAAGGTTAGTACGTAAGTAAACAAAGTGAGACGGGATGAAGAGGACGGCTCGGGTCAGATAGGCCGGACTCGGTAGCTTCTCGTACCAATTCTCTTGTTATCGTAGTCTTGAGACTACTCCACGTCGGGCCTGGGGCCGTGTTGCTGCCGTGATGGTGAGGCCGTGGCCGGCGATACTCCGTACACTACGAGTCTACTGTGCACGCAGGAAGGCGCGAGGGTGCCGGTAGCTGAGAGACAATGCCACGATGGGGCTTTTTGAGTGGGATGAGTCGAGGCCAGCGCAAGCCCAGCCCCATGCCTCATGCCGCATGCCCCATAGGTAAGGCACCCCAGCCACCTCATCATCTCCACTCTTGATGTTTTTCTTTTCCTTGATGTTCTCTCTTCAATAAATCGCTAGGGAGTACGGATACCTGTCGGTATGCTTCACTGGCGGTCAAGGGGCACATTGGTCACTCACGAGAGCAAGGCAACGAACGTATCAGGGTGGATGAAATGGTTTCGTTATTGGGCTATGTCTATGAGTGCTCGGTACGGAGTATGTGTTCTGTATCTTGTGAGATGGCAAAAGGGAAAGAGAGGAACAAGGCTGGAAACAAGCTAAGAGTGGATGTTGATGACCAGCCCCGCCGATTTTAGGTTGGAGTGGTTCCTTATGCAAAAGTGCCGGGGGTTTTGAAAAGACACAGGATTGGCTGAAAACATGGCAAAACTCCACGTTGGATGAGTTGTTTACCGTTGGACGGTTGGGGGCTCCCATGGAGTCGGGAGTCTGGACCATGAGTCTGTCTACAAGGACCTTACCTACGTACTACTAAGGTACACCGTACGGGGTGTGTCGCTGCTGGCCGGGAAACCAAGGCCTTGCATCGGTAGGTATTCCCTCGACAGAGATATCGGCTTCAATCTTACGGATATTCCCGAATCGAATGAGCGAATACCGTGATGATGGTTTTGACAGGGCAAGAACTCAGTCATCAATGAGCGCATCGCATGGCCGGCCGTTGGTTCAACTCCATTCTGCAGCAGCCATGATTGAATTTGAAGGGACAAGGGAAGGCAGCCTCATCTGTAAGATGACGACCATGTACGACTACAGACGCCGCGAGAGACGAGAGTCGCGCGTGACGGAAGATGGTGTTTTTGAGTTCTCCTATCCGTGCCTTTCCTCCATTACCTAAGGTAGGTAGGTATGGATGCTGCGTAAAGTTGGTAGGCAGGCACGGCAGACAAAGGAAAGTACAGATCTATGGAACGGTGTAAGGCAGGTACTGTAGGTATCGTGGTATCCCAACTTTTCAAGCAAGTGCAAGTGTAGGTGGACAGCGCAAGGGAAGGAACTGGGCAGGTGGCAGACGTCTGCCAAAAGGGGATACTGAGGATGCCGATCGCCGACGTCATTGCTGGTGCCCTGACGCACCTCCCATCACCTACCTTACCCTACTACGTAGGTAGGTACCTACCTCCCCAGGCTCACATCATCTCAGGCTTCAGCAAACACCTCTCACCTCACAGTTATCGAGTGTACGGATAGAGTAGGTACGGAGTAAGGAACCTTACCTTTCGTGAGGACTGAGGAGGGAATCAAGGCGCTCGGGCTCCCGCTCTGCGACATGCTTGGCTGCAGTCCGTGTCATTGTTTGACGGCCGTTTGCTCGTCCCTGGCCCTTGGAGACAGCCATCAGGCAAGGCCGTGCCATCGACATCCATACCCATCTACGTCTGCGTACAACTAAGGTACCTACCTTAGGTACCTACCTGAGGTAGAGAGAGCGCGCCCGCGAACCGTTGCACCGAGCTGCGCAGCCGGAAGTTGGAACCCTCCTTTTTCCTCTACCTACCTTACTCCGTACCACTGTGGTCCTCGCATCAATGTGAAGCTTGCGTGAGCTTACTTACTTTAAGGTACCGTGGGTACTTACCGTTGGTGAGGCCTTCATCCCCGTTCATGGCTATTCCATCCCATCTCACATCCGCTTGTCCATCCTATGGATTTACCTTGTCCAACCCACACCAATCCACACGAGTCCAATGCAAGACTGGAAATCGACGGGCGAGAGCGAGACTGAGAGAGAAAGAGAGAGAGAGCGTGAAATTGAAATCAAGCAGGAAATGGCAAAACGGCAGGAAACGGGCTGGGCACCCGGCATCTTGGATGCTACCTTGCCTTTTGCTGCTTCACCCATTCACCTCTCATCATCCTTGGCCCATGCATCCTTGACTGGTAACCCGCGATCCAGCCCAACCTCCCCCATTTGAGTACCGTACGGTGTACGGAGTACCACACACACCACACACCAACGAATTGCGCCAGTTCACCACCACGACGAAATGAACCTGGCCTTGCCTTGCTTTTTTCCCTTTTTTCCCTCTCTCACTCTCTCTTGCGCGCACGCACACACACATCCTCGCCCGCCCACCCCCCGGTCCCATCTGCTCTTGCTGCCCACTCCGGATGGGCTTGTCCCAACTTGCAACTTGCAAGACTCGCTGACCCAAACCCAAACCCGACCTGCATTGGCTCTGTTTCTGGCTCACACCTCTCTCTTACACACAAGTCGCACCTTTGTTTATTTAACCGCCCTTCCCACCCCATCCCAACCTCCCACCCGTTCATCTGAAGGAGCTCTAGAAACAAAACACGAGCGACAGAAGAGACAGAGAAAAAACTGAGTCTGCGAGGCTTTGCTCGTCTGCTTTTCTCACTGCTTACTCTACCTACCTTGGTAGCTCCCCTTCTTCGGCCGCCGTTGTCTTTGTCCATCTCAAGACTCGATCGATCCGTCGTCGCCTGTCGCCTGTCGCAAGCGCAGTAATAACAACGAAAACAACACCACCGCTACCGCAGGCGCATCTTGTCGCATCTTGTCGCATCATTTAACCACGCAGCAATCAATAGCTCATTGCCCGGCCGTTCAGCCTTCCGACCGCCCACCATGTTGTTCGCCGTCATGTTTGCGGCGACGCGATTCCTCCAAATCGTCACCTTGGTACGTTTTCACACCCCCACAGAGATACATTACCCCGACTACCCAACGTTGTTCTCCTTTATTCTACAAAAACAACATACATAATTAAAATATAAGAACTAACAAAAATGCCACAGATACCCACCATGGGCATGCTTGCCTGGTTCGTCGATGGCTTCGTAAAGCGCAACGTAATCGTTCCCGACTCCATCCTTGTCCTCTTCATCGTCTCCGTCCTCGCCCTCGCCTGGGCTATCTTCACCCTCTTCAGCTACCACCGCAGCAGCACAAATGCACTCTTCGTCGCAGTCATCGACCTCGGCTTCGTTGGTGCCTTCATTGCCGCCGTCTGGTACCTTCGCGGCATCAACTACGTCGACTGCACGAATCTCGCTCGCGACGGACGCTGGTCTGCGAACTTCCCCGGCCTCGTCACCATCTCTGGGCCCCGATTCAACCTCTTCACCGACAAGCCCTGTGCCATGCTCAAGGCATCCTGGGTCTTTGGCATCATCAACACCATTCTCTTCTTCTTCACCGCTGTTCTCGCCTGGATGCACGGTGACCGCCTGTCCTCCAGCTACGAGCGCAAGTCCTACCACCACGGCCGTCACCGCCGCCACCGCTCCCACAGCCACCGCTCCCACAGCCGTCGCAGCTCCCACTCTCACCGTCGCGTCTACGTTTGAGACCTATCCAGTCGAGATTTATGACAATCGCACTGACTTTATTACTTTTTGGAGAGGGAGGGAAATTTGACGACTTGTACAAGAACGAGAGTAACAAGAAGACGAGATGAGATACCATGATGTGATACGATAGCATGTGTAGAGCTTGAGACCGATGCTCAGGAATGGTTCATGTAATTCCAGCGACCTGGCGCGTAGTGGACGGCATATCCGTTCATGATGACGAATCTAATGACTTTGATTCACGACATCTTCTTTCTGCCGTGCTCTGCCTTTACACAGGCCATTATTATGTGCCTGTTTCTGAATTGGTGACCGTACTGTACTTTCTCTTCCTCCTTTCAACACCCAGCACGACTGACTGTCAGGTGCTCTGCAGTGAGCCCAGGCCGAATCGCGCTTCAGACCACAGTAGCAATGAAATGTCAAATCATGGTAGAAAAAATTGGTATCTTGAGGTCCTTACCAGTACCTATAAATGTATATGTTCTTTTTTTGGTACCATACCTTGCGCCGATTCAAAATAACCCGTCAGTCGTCACTTTTGTTCAGGCCCTGCCAGCATCTTCGCCTACCGTATAACCCCGCGCGACACCGCTTCGGCCCTCCTCGACGACGGTGCTACTCTCCTCGTCGTAGTCCGTTCCGAGGCCCTGCCACGTCCGTTGCGATCGCAAGTACTCGGCACCGGGGCTCAGCACGCCGTTGATGGTGGCCATCTCACCCATCTCTCGTGTCACCAATGCCGACTGGCCAGGCTTCTCGCTGCTATCCTCCCCATTGTCGTTGCCGGTCTTGGATCGGCCATTGGCCGACCGTACCGGCATTCTCATCGGCCGACTGGCCACAAGCTTGCCAGTGCGCAAGTCGTATTCCGGCGGTGCCGACTCGTCCTCGTCCAGCTCCTCCTCCTGCCTTACCGCGTCGTGGTCCATCTTCTCGATACCACCCCACCACTCGAGACCCCATACGCGCTCGCTCTCGGGCTTCAGCGCCACCTCCATCTCAAAGGGCGTGATGACGGGCTTGAAGAACCCGGCGTCCTCCTCCACCAGGCCGCTCTCCCAGCATCCTACAACGACCCAGCCGTCAACTTCGGCAAAGTTGGCCAGCTTCGCGGCGTTCAGCTTGCCCACCACGACCGTGTAGCTCTTTTTTCCGGCTTCGGCGATACGCCGGCGCAAGAGGTCAATGCTTCCGAGATAGTTGGACACGGAGAGCGTGTTGACGAGGATGCCCACTACACCGGCCGTCGCCAGGGTCAGCACGCGGGCGAAGCGCCGACGGAGGAGGGCATTCGTTGTCCGTGTTGGATCGTCGGTCGACAGGCTCGGCGTCGAGAGAACATGGAGAGAGGCCATGCGGGTCTGGAGCGCGAGGAGGAGCGCCGGGGGCGGTGTCGAGATGTGGAAGAGGGCGTGCTCGGACAGGTCGGCAGTCGGTGGGGCGTCTGATGAGGAAGAGTCGATAATCTTGCGATTCGGGATCGTGCCGGTCGGGTCGTGTGTCACTTCGGTATGCAGCAACGCTGTGTATCCCGCGGAGCGCAGTTTCGTCGTGAGGGGGGCGACGTGGTCCTGATATGTGACGTCGGCCACCACAACCACCTTGTGCTGCTTGTCGGGGAATTCTTTGGAAAAAGCCTCGACTGCCTGGTCAATGTCGAGGACATGCCGCGTAAATACATAGATAACGGGCAGCCTCGACGTCGGCGAGAGGCATGAACGGCCATAGTGTACGACAATCTGGGCATCAGCGTGCTCGGCCGCGATCTCATCGACGCAACAGGCGCTGTAGGACGTGTCGGCGAGGATGTACACGCGATGGGTTTCGTTACCGCCCAGAGCTTCCGTCAGCGCCTCGGCGACCCACGAAGCGTCACGCAGCATGGCATCGGGGAACTGGAGGGCCACGCGGTTCCAGCCGCCCTCTTTGATCTCGCGCGCCGTGCGCTCGATCTCGTAGACGGAAGCGAGCTCATCTTGGGTGCGGTCGGCGGTCGGCGGAGGTGGAGGTGTCGGCGTCGGGTCTTCAAAGGTGTGTTCGGCGGGCGTCGAGAGGACGGGCGCCGCTGAGAGTTCTGTCATGGCCGCCGGCTTTTTGCAAAGACCAAGGAGAAAAAACTTTTTTTTTTTCTCCTCTGGTACACGGATTAAGGAAGAGGAATCAGTCAATGGCGGGGTTGCGCTAATGGCGGGGTACAAAAAATCGAGGTCAGGCCCTGACTCACCTTGTCGGTGAGCTCGGTGTAGTTGTATTGGTTGAGTGATACCCACTTTGAATTGGAAACTCTTGTAAGTCGATTGGTTAACTATCTTTCTCTACTGGTTACACAGTCCACTGCGGGAAGCAGTGGATGGCTCTCGTCGTTCACCGGTGAACCGCACAACTCTACTGTTCCAATATTCATTAGACTTGTTTTTTTTTATAAAAGGAAATAACATGATTGCTTATGTGGAAGTCATAGTGGATCTCATAAGAGACTTTGCTGCTTCTAAGCTGGTGTTGATGCTTCAACACATGTTCTTCCTCCGTGTTGATCATTATCGTCAGAAATGGCATTAGTTTTGATTCCATTCGCTCATCCTATGATATCTCCCCATTTCAGAGCTTACAGCCACCTAGAACAGGCCAAAACAGTTGGCGTAATAGGTTACAGTGGCACTCCAGTCTGAAAAGATGCTCAAGACACCAACGTCTTGAGCAAGCACGTGGAGAAGGTTATAGACATCGCCGTCATTGTTCGTGACGTTGGCGATGGAGGTATAGTAATAACCGCCCTTGGTGTCGTCTCCGAGGAAGCCAGAACGCTCCAAAGACCATGAAATGATCTTGAGACCCAGCTCCTTGGCCCTGGTCGCATACGAACTGGGCACAATCTTGCCATCTTCGACGGTGACGAGGTAGTACAAAGGAGGGGCCATGATCTTGACACCAGCAGCAGCAAACTGGGTCAGGTTGGCAACGGCTCCCGGGTAGGTCTCGGGGGTATCTCCACTCTCGTCCAAGAGAACGCCCTGCTTGCCGAACTCGGGCTCGGCCTCGAGCCAGTAGAGGATATCAGGGTAGTAGAACGACTGAGGCCAGACCCTCTCAGGGGCAATGCCAGCTTCCTTGTACTCGTCAATTAGCTGTTGCGCGTACTGTTCCTGCGTGTAGTCTCCCTCGAACGGCATCTTAACCTCGGGGACCTTGAGCTCGGGAGTGAACTGCAGACCAAGGTCATTGGTCATGGCAATGTGCTCCTTATGGGTCATAACGGTACCGCAGGTGGAGTAGAGGTCGGTGCGGTATCTCGGGGTACCGAGCAAGAAGTCTTTGGGGTTGACGGCCGAGGCATTGAAGCCATCCATCTTGCTGCAGAGAGTCTTGAACTCGGCGACGGTGATGTCCGAGGTGCAACATTTGGCGGTCGCGGCCGTACCGTTGCCGGCGGGAGTGAAGGGCGTGGTGCACTTGGCGTTGAGCTCGGGTATGGTCACGATGTTGGTTGTCGTGTGAAGATCACACTGGGAGTGACGGCAGACTAGTTGACGGTCCTTGGTGAAGGCAACATCGCACTCGAGAACGCCAGCACCCATACGCGCACCGGCGAGGTTTGACTCGACTGACTCCTCGGGGATCATCATGGTACCGCCGCCACGATGACCAATGCTCCAGCTGGAGGGCTTGATGGGCTGTTCTGAGCACGATTGCAGTTTTTCCTTCAGAGGGCCCTCGTCCATGTCGTTGACCAACCAGTAGGGTCTTGGGCCCAATTGAATGCTGGTGATGGGCTTGTAGACAGGGGCAGGCTTGGGACAAGGAACAGCATTGACCTGGCGTGAAGCGACAGCCACCAGGCCCGAGACGACGATGGAGTTGAAATGCATCTTGACCGGCGGTCGATAGTGACTGGTCGATGTCTTGCGCTACGAAGGGACACGACGATCAAGAGAGGACTCGCCGGGAGGGAGGCCGAGGGAAGAAGGACCGCGGGAGCTGGAGCTGGAGCGGGAGCTGGAGGTGGGAGAGCCGAGGGTAGGAAACCGGTCGACTAGTTGAAGTTGGCGAGTCGAGGTGTCCCCGTCTTATGTAGGTCTCTCTTCTGGAGCCCGGAGGGCGTGGTGGTTGTTCTGCCAAGGCGACCAGCAGCTGCAATGACGGGTGGTTCTGAGGAGGGTTCCCGGTGTGGAATACGTGGTTTACGATAGCCAATGCATTACTAGTCTCGCAATATGATGCTGAGCAGTTCGTGGAGGGCTGCAGATTGGACAGGCCCTGGGACTATGTCGGGCCACATGCTTGCATTCGGTATAGCCGTCTGATGTCTTCCCTGCGATGATTTAGCAGCGTATGTGTATGTTTCCGTCCCGTGTATGGAGTTGGTCGGCACTAGAGGAACAGGGACAAGGTTAGCACCACCCACAGCATCCGCAGCTCGGAATAAGATGGATGGAGAATTGGAGGGCCAGCCGGCCGTTGATTGCGCTGGTTATCAGCACGTGTCAATGAAAGGATCATGTCCCTGTGAACAAGACATGGCGCAGTAGAAGAGTAAGGGTACGTAGGTATCCGTAGTTTATTTAGGGAGTAGATACGATGGATGAAGCAATACCTAGGTAGGTACTACTCCGTACCGAACAAGCAGGAGCAGGCAAGCCGGGCAAGGTAGGATGGACAGCTTCAGGTTGTTTCCCAGCGCAACTTACGCAGTAGGTACAGAGTAAGCTACCTACTGTGAATGTGAAAGTCGTACTGCCAGTGTACGCAGTACTCCGTAAGTAGGTAAGGTACCTTAAGGTCGGGTAGGTAAGAGTGAGGGGTCAACGGCGGCACGGCTCCACCAAAGGTTCTTGGCGGCCCCGCAGCTGCTGTGGAGTAGAGCTGCGTGCCGAAAGGACGTCCCCTGATTCGCCAATTGGGTCATCTCAAGCTCCGGTCCCACCCACCTCACCTCCAGGGCTGGGCTGATAAGGAAGGTTGGCATCCCACGCCTTCCATCCTACTGAGGACTGACTGCCTTACACTACCCGAGGTACCTTACTCCGTACTGCATACCTACCATACAAGTAAGGTAGGTGCCGAAGTTCCCTCCATTGATTGCATCGTGAACCTCACTGGTTACTCCCGATGCACGTGCCCGACCTGCAGATGGGCACACCGAGATGATTTCTTGACCGAAGATACCAGACTCTTGGCCGACCGGACAGTCCCCCGGCGGAGGGCTTACCAGCAGATTGTAGCTGGTCCTCACCTCACCGTCCCAACCCGACAGCTCTCCGTTTCCGCCGAGCCCGTAACCGGCGGCCGGCGTCTCCGGTGCCAAAAAAACGCGTCGCCGCCTGTCGCAATCTAACTAAGTACCTTACCTGGTTGTCTCCCGGACCACGGTATCGCAACCAGAGCGGATCACTGCCAAGACGCCATTGTCAACCCCACGAGTCATTGGCAACGAGCGACCCTATCCCCGGGACCAAGATAAGGTTTGAAAGCTTCGAATGTCTTGCTCATCTGCACAAATTCTTAATTTGGATGCCGGTAGGCCGGAATATTGTGACTATTGCAAAATACATAAGGATACGCATCTCCTTACTACTCCGTAGACGTGGCACTTCCAGACTACGACATGGAATCTTCTTATTTGAGTCTTGTTCTCCCATCATCGGTGGTATATGCAGAATGCCAAAGTCATGAGGACCTGCCCTTCGACCCTAGGAATGGGAACGAAAATAATCCGCAGCTTCAATTTTGTAGTTCTGATGGTTGATGGCATGAATCAAGTGGCACCTGGCGCTCCGTGAAAGCTTCTGGGCCATCATCTTATTCTCGATGGCCTTGACCTGGCCAGACACATCCTATCCATGAGAGTTGATGTATTTCAAGATGGCAAGCATCGTTCGACGCATGGGACATTAGTCTCAGGATCGTACTTTGGCGAACTTCAAGGTCAAAAAGTATGGTGCTCGAAGGCTTCACATTTCGTCGTATTCCTGAATTTCTTAATCAGAGATTATTCTGAGACCCAATGATACTGTGCATTCAATTCATTTCCTGAACGTGATATTGTGCGTCAAGGGATCTTAATCAATCTTCACGGTTTGTACATACGTGTCTTTAAACTTTGCGCATGGCACAAATGGTATCATTAAGGTATAGATCAAGTCTCATGTTCCCTTGGAACCTCGTACATCCATATTACAAACACAAACCAGAACACCAGCTAGGTATGGTGGCTAGACATACCAAAAACAATAAGCCCATAACTCCGTTTCATACTTTGGGGTATTTCCACGTCATTCCAAAGGCCGTTGAAAATCAAGCCAAACTGTATCGCATCCGTTGCGGATCTTGGTCGTTTAAGCGCCAGGGTAGGCGTGGTTGTGCTTGGTGGCATGGCCACGAGAGCGCATAGCGTCGAGGGTATCGAGAACAGTAAGGAACATGAAGATGGCCCAGATGAAGAAGGCAAAGGCAACGGCAGCCTGGGCGGAGCCGCAGTACGTGTTGGCGCCGCAGTGAGGGGCTCCGACGAAGACGGCAAGGGCGATGGCGCCGGCGAACCAGAAGATGGTAGTGATGACAAGTAGTGCGAGGGAAACGAGCTTGTGGAAGAGGCGGGTCATGTACAGAGGGGTCAGGCCGACGTAGGCAAGGACGAGCAGCGACCAGACGGAGTTGAAAATGAGGAAGTTGACGATATCGGGAGAGCGAGACCACCAACCGCTCCAGCCGTTGTAGCCATTGTAGCCGCTGGCAACTGTGATAGTGTGAGTCATGTGTGTTGATGCAACGGCGGGGCGGGTAGAGAAGAGAGAACATACCATATGAAGTGAGGCCGAGCTCAATGATGGAAAAGACGGCGGCCACGATGTGGGCAATGGGTACGAGAGAGACCATGTTGAGCGTGTAGATGCTACCTCTGGTATTGTATCTTTGACAGGAGTGGTGTAGACTGCTGGAGTTATCGCAGGTCTGCGAGATAGGGCTGAGTTGATGGGGTTGGATGAATGGATGGAGAGGTAGACGATTCACAGATAGCAGGCTGGTAGAGGCAATGGCGTTGAATAAGTAGTGGGCGAGAGGTGACGGAAGCTGGGCAAGTTTTCCCTTTCTGAGTATGAATTACTAGTATGTAGAATGGCGTCAGATGGGGGGGGGGGGGGGCGTGGAGGAATAGCAACAAAAGGAAAGAGGCATCACATAGGAAATCCGATGGCTGCCGCGGCTTTCACTTGCCGTGCAAATGCAGACAGACCGCCCATTGGGCTGGGCTTGGTTAAAGTCACCACTACGTAAGTAGTCATCAGGCGAGAAATGTGTAAATACCTACCGGTAAGGCAGTAAAAGTTGACGATGCGTAATGGGAGGGGTGTGAGCCTGTGAGGTGATGAGGTGGAAGGAGGGGCGTGTGGTGATGTGGAGGGCCGAGAATGACGTGGTTCCAGCCGTTGGCATGACCTCATTGTCGACCTTGGGATGCCTCCACCAGGGCTGACAGGCCATTCTCGCCAATGGAACACAGGCGCTAGCAGTCAAGTTGTCGCTAATCCTCAGCCACTTCAGGCCACTCATCGTGGGGGATGACACTCGCTTAGCTGGTGGTCTCCGCTATGGCATCCGGACTTTAGGTAAGCGTCACCATAAGGTAGGTCCCTACTCTGTACACAAGGTAAGGCACCTAAGATACCTCAGGGTAAGTACTGCGTACTGTACCTTAGGCATCTTGCTGAATTTGTGTTCCTTACCTAAGGTACCTTAAGTACTTACAGTACGTTGGACGAGCTTCCTCGCGCACCCTCCATCATCTGCAATCCCAGTGAAAATCTTGTCTACCTGCCTGGAACCAAACAAACATCGAGTGGAGAAGGAGAACATGAAAGAGTCTCAGACTCGAGCGTGCCATGTCATATTCTAGTCACGTCAGGTCTCTCTGCAATCTCCAGGGTCTTTCCAAACTCCCATCTAGCTACCTTGGGCACCTACATTTAGCATGCAGATTTATCTCGCCTAGACAGCATAACGCATTCCCCAGCTTGACTCGCCTGGAGAGACAAACGGTGAAACCATTAATCAAGTCCCCAATCAAAAACATCCTGACGCTGCCCAAGCCCGAGAGCAGCCACTGAAAACCTCACGGTTCACCGCACCTCTACTTGTATGCGACCCTGCATTCCCGTCTGGAGTCTTTGGCCCGTGATGCAGAGGTATGGATGACGGACCCGTACGCCCTTTCCGCACTCCCACGTCCCAACCAACTACCGGTGCTAGCCTACCTAAGGTAGCCAAGCCCAAAAGTAACACCAGCGCATCCATCTTCCCAAGGTAAGCTGCACGAGCACACAAGCGTGACAAGCTCGAAGCTCGACGACCGCTCGAAACTAGAGGTCAACTGCCGCCAGCCTCAATCGAGGCAGGCGCATATGGAGCCAACGTCGGCAAAGAGCGGGCCCCCCCACCCGGTCTCGGCTCCGGCACGACGATATCCGTCACCCGCCGTACGGACTACCTTACAAGTAGGTACTATATGTAATAGGTACTGGATCGTCCAAGGATTACGTTCCAAGGACCCAGAGTCGAGGTTGGGAAGACTTTGATCCCTGATGACGTGAGTCCACCGTCTTCCTACCTAGCTAGGTAGTACCCCAGCACCCCAGGTAGGTATCCAACTGCCAACCTCCCACCCAGTGTCAGTGCCACCCTGCAGTGCCAACAGCCTCTCAGACCGCCAGGTGCCCTTCATCGTCCTCCGCTCTCGCTTACCTCGCCTCGCCGTCTACTTCAAGCTTCATTCAGCTCCTCGCCTCAGCCAGCCCGTTACGGATACTTACGCGTCCTTTGACCCTCGCCCTCTCGCCTCTCGCTCGACCCCCTTTTGCAACGACGAGTCAATGACAGACAGCTTTAACCCTCGTCTTCCAAGCCTCTGATGGTGGACCCTATTAGATCCCGTGAACCCTGTGAGCCCTGAGACTCACTCTGTCGTTTCTTTCGACCCGCTGCCTCTTTTCTATCCGCGCTCGAATCCCATACTTGGTCTCAATAATGTACTTCACAGACCATACCATTTTTCACGGCTGAGCACCAAACGACGATGCCTCTTCTCCGGATTCGCGGCGCCAACCACTCCCCATGGCACAGCTGATAGCCATTACGTCGAGACAGTCTTTTCCAAGACATGTGGATGAGACATGCTTTTCGTAAGATCGTAGAGCAACTCTGAGTGTTGCCCGCTACACCCACCTTGCCACCTTGCCAGCCCTCTGCGCGAATGCTGGTAGATGGAACTAGCGTCTGATTAGAGACAATACAAAAAGTATGTCGAACGTCAGCTCCAGAGATGTCAGTCCGTGTTCAGATCACCCACCAACCACGCCTACCTACCGTAGGTACCTAGTAGACAGGTACTTACTATTGTACGTATCTACCCAAACCACCTCAAAACCTTAGTACCGAATCTGGGCACCTAGCTTTAGACGCCATTGTCAGCCTCGGCAACCACAGACTGGCGCCTGTCAACCTAACACGAGGTAATTGTCCGAGCCATCCCACATTCATTCTATGCATACGGTACCGCACGCAGGGCACATCACAAAACAGCCAAGCTTGCCAGTCGCAGATTCTTGAACCAGCTGTGCTTTCATTGCGTCTCGCTGCAGTGGGCAAGAGAAGGCCACTAGTCGACTTCGTCATTTTAACATTCTTATCGTCAACCACACTGCAATAACCTCATCCAAGCCCAGAGTCACAGACTCAGATCCATCAGTCGGCGTCCTCAGTTCACGTGCTACGGTGCACGATTGGCACTATGCGCAACCCGGCAATGAGTCTGATTGTTCACAGAATGAAACGAAAAGTAACGGCAAAGCTTTACGGGCTCTGTCTAGGGGTCACCTACAGCTCATCAGCCTCGTGAGGGCCAGGGCCCCAAGGCAAGCTTCCTCTGCCCCTGCGCTCCGCCAGGCCTTTGTTGACCGCCTTGAGATTGTTGTACTCGGGGCCGTCCTCGCCCAGGCCCCAAGCGAATACGCCACCGAGTCTCTTGTCGTCGACAAGGGCGGGGAATTTGCGCAGGATCGCATCGGGGGTATCGTATGTCCAGAACCGCCTCTCGGCCCTGTCAAGGTAGTAGTAGCCTCCGCCCTCCTTATCATACTTGCCCTCTTTTTGAGCTCTCTCGAACGAAGCTTTTACGTCCTCTTGGACCCCGTCGTTCCAGCTGAAGCCTCCCGTCTGACCCAGATCTCCACCCGTAACGGGATCCTCCATGAGGGGCGTTGGGCATCCAACCTCTTTACCCTCTGGACAATCCGTCGTCTTGAACCACTTGGTATAAAAGGCAAAACCGAGATTAATCTTGTGAGCCGGGACTCCTCGGGCCATGTAATTGTCGACGGCAATTCTGGACAGTTCCATGCCTGTGTGATGTTTGGTCACATTATCGCGGCGGTTCATCATGTCGTAGGTCATGACATTGACAAAGTCGAGGCTGCGGATGATACGAGGGACCGTTTCCTTGGTGAAGGCGATCATGTCGCGCTCGAGACCCGGAGTCGCAGCGGAGATGAGTTTGCCCTTGGGGAGCTGTCTGCGGACCTCCTCAAGCAGTAAGGGGTATGCCTCAATCTCCCACTTCTTATCCTCGTTGGTGCTGTTCTTGACCTTGTAGTCCTCGCCATTGCCACTGGTCTGGGGGTTAGTAACTGTCTCTGCTGTGGCTCTTTGAAGTGGCCGCAGTCCCAGGTAGTCGGGTGATTGAAGCTCACCCAGGATATTCCCAATCCATATCAATGCCGTCAGCACCTGTTGCCTTGACCATGTCGGCAACATTCTGGGCCCACTTCCTCCGCGACTCGGGGGTACGGGCGGCGGTGTCGAAGCCCTTGGTGTCGCTCCAGCCGCCAATGGCGACCATGACTTTTGTGCCAGGCATGAACTGTGTGCGGACCTTATCCACGGTGGTGAAGAGGGGCCACTCGGCCACGTCCTTGTTGAAGGTGTCCGAGTTCATGAAAGCCAGCTCCACGTGGGTGATGTGAGACACAAGCTCTCTGGAGGGGACATTGGGGTGTTGGCTGTGGCTTGCGTTAGCGGTTCATGTCCGTTTACCTTGGCCACCTACCGGAGCCGCCTTGTGACGAGCTTTAGCGGAAGCAACTCACTCACCCGGTGAGATACATGACGCATTTGAGATCGGACGCAGCCTTTTCGGTGGTCTCCTGGGCGAAGGCCATTGCGGCAGACTGCAGAGGTATGAGCAGGCCGCCCAGGGCGGTGAACAGTAGCCTCATGTCGGTGTCAATGTGGTAAGGGAGGATGGCTTCGAGGTGTGGAAGCTCTCGCAGAGCGCGGGCATGAGCTTGGAGATGAAGGATGGGAGCGAAATGTACAACAGGGCGTCAAAGCCAGAAAGGGACAGTCAAATGACGGGCATCAGACTTAATTAAACCCAAAGAAACAGGCCAAAGGTAAAGACGGGCGAAACCGAAGAGATCGGGAAGGAGAAACGACAGGTGAAGCAGCTGCCGAGTGTCCGATGTTTCCTCGACTTCCTCTTTTCGCCGGGATCTTCTCGGTGCAGGAACCCCGCTGTGGCGGATGCATTGTATAAGGTATCACCTTACTACAATAGTTAGGGTGAGGTACCTTAGGGTCCTGCCTTACATAGCAGTAGCGGGGAGGTACCTTACCCCAAGGCGGTGCTCCCGTGGTGTTTGGCGGCATTGATGCGCCTGCTTGCTTGCTGGGGGGGGAAGGACCCCGCAGCAATTAACCTTAAGGCAACGGGACGTTGTTTCCAGGGCAAGCAGATAAGGTAGGTACGAATATTCGCAAACACCTCAACCTAGGTACCTAGATACCTTCGGTGTTTGTTCATCCAAGGCCGGAAACGTCGAGTACCTTAAGGTGAGAGACGGGATTCTCAAATTTGGAAAGAGGTGCTGCAATTGAGAAACAAAATCTGCCAACAATCCTCATTGTACCCTGCGCCCGAGGTGTCTGCTCCGGATCAATTGGCAACTCTGCCGGTGGGACAGTCTTCAAGTCGGCGGCTAGCGGAGTATCCGTACATACCTTACGATGCTCCGTTCACAAGGCATTGGCCGACTGCCGGGCTGGTGTGTAGCAGCAAAGGGAACCCTACCATGAAGTTTGAATGTAACCTTGGTGCAGAGGGACGAACCTATTCGTGAGTCTGTGAGATAGTGCAATTACTTGCTGGTACGGAATACCTCATGCCAGGAAAGGTAAGGAAGGCATCTCAACGGTTCAGTCCCTTGTTCTCTTTGGGACCGGCAAACAAAGAGAGACGAAACCGAGCGCTCGGGTCTTCTGTTCTGCGTTTTGTGGCTTCCAAACCAAACATTGCGCACTGGGTGCATGTCGACCATGTCCTGCCCCCCCCCCCCCGGGGCTCATTCTTCACCTTGTCCAAAAATTGCCTAGTCGGAGGAGTGCGCTTCGGTGGAAGCTCTGGTGGGGTCCCCCCCAACTCTCGGTGAGTCCTTCACCTCGAAAATTTCATCCCGCCTGCGTGTGTCTAAGTCAATCAGCTTTCTTCCTGTTTCGACCTGCAACCCGCCTCGACTCAGTTCCCCTCAAACTCCTTCTCACACTGTCTAGACTGATTGGTTCTCTAGAGTCGTTTCTTCTCAATTGATGCAACGATCATGTTCGAGAACCTCTGCACCCTCCCCCTCTCCGCTGAGGTCTTCACCCAGGTCCTCCACCCTACCGAGCCGTTACTGACCGTTGGCTTGTCTACCGGCCATGTCGAGACCTTCCGCCTCCCTTCCTCGGGCGACAACGAATCTGAAGCTTCCGATGATCCGGATACGAGTATAACATCAACAGGGCGGGGGGCTATCGACAGCGTCTGGCGCACAAGGCGTCACAAGGGAAGCTGTAGAGCCCTGGCCTACAGCCACGATGGTTCTGGTAAGTAGCCAAGCCCCAAATACGCTGCACACATCAATGGAGTTTCCTCCCCGAAGCCGTGGCTGACTTGAGTCTTTGCAATCGCTAGCCCTCTACTCTGCCGGTACCGATGGCTTGATCAAGCATTTCTCCCCGACGACTGGCAAGGTCATCTCCAAGGTCATCATTCCCTCCTCGAACAAGCAGATCGACGCTCCGACTCTCATGCACGTTCTGAGCCCCCAAAGCCTCCTTCTCGGCTGCGACTCTGGAGCCATGCACATCTTTGACTTGCGAGACGGCGTCCCCTCGGCCAAGCCTGCCCAGACACACTTTCCTCACTCCGACTATGTCTCTGCCATCGTCCCGCTGCCTCCGTCCGCCGAGAGCACCTCTGGCTTCTCCAAGCAATGGGTCTCTATTGGCGGCACGACACTCGCTGTGACAGATGTGCGCAGAGGCGTTCTTGTCCGCTCCGATGACCAAGAAGACGAGCTACTATCTGCTGCCTACGTCCCCGGTCTCGGCCCCAAGAACAACAGAAACAACGGTATCGTCGCCGTCGGCTCCGGTTCTGGAGTGGTCACGGTCTGGGACAAGGGTGCATGGGATGACCAGCAAGAGCGCATCATCGTTGACGGTGGAAAGAGTGGCGGCGAGAGTCTCGACGCCTTGGCATTGGTCCCTGAAGAGCTTGGGCTGGGGAAGAAGCTCGTCGTTGGCCTCGGTGACGGAAGCCTCCGGGTGGTCGACTTGGTCATCAGGGAGGTCGACAAGTCCTTGAATCTTCGACATGATGACGTTGAAGGTGTTATTTCTGTTGCCTTCGACTCCCAGAACCGCCTGATAACAGCCGGTGGCAAGACGGTGAAGGTGTGGGAGGAGCTGTCAGAGCTTCAGGGCGAGGCCGAAGGCAGTGACGAGGGTAACGACAGCGGCAGCGATGACGAAACTTCTGGCAAGCGTCGAGCAGACAGTGACAGCGACGATGATAGCGACAGCGACGACGACTCAAAGCCGCGAAACAAGCGTCAGAACACGGGAGCCGACAAACTTGGTCCCATGGGTGCACATGGCATTCTAGGCTTTGACGGTTTGGACTAGTTTGACATCTTCCATCTATTTAATGATACCCTCCAGTGCCATCTGTAGTGAAGGATGAGCCACTCACTAATGGAACCAATTTGACTCTGTTGCATCTTGATGAAGCCGTGACTTCTATTCTCGGCGTTTGGGTGTCCCAGGAGATACATGCCTCTCGGGGGAAAAGAAAATAACCGAGCATATCCTGGCGGCAGTGACGGCTTAACCGCAACAACCGGAGGGCTTGGAGACGTTTGACGAAATAGTTTTCCGTCCTCCCTCCGGCACATCTGTCGATTGCCGATCTTCAACGCCGGGCCCGGGACTTGAGTAACCTCCGCAGCGATCAGACCCCGCTCCCCGCCGATGACAAACAACTGACAGAACAAACGGCAAGCTTCCTACATAAACGCACTTGTATCTTCCATCACGACCTTCACCAGTCATCATTTCTTTAAAGACAGGCACTAATTAGCTACCGTATGCCATGGACGCCGTGAATTCCTTCATATTTGGCATCACCACCCCCAAAGTCTTGTTCGGACCGGGTACCGTCAATGAGCTGCCCGGCGAACTCCAGTCCCGCAAGCTTTCAAAACCACTCATCATCTGCTCCCCGTCTCGGACTTCTCTGGCCAAGACGATTCAAAATAAATTGAGAGAAGCAGGGTTCTCAGACATTGGTGTTCTCGATACTGCCATTGTTCATAACCCGAGCGACATCATCGGACCCGCGGTTGACCGAGCACAGGGCCGCGATGTTCTCGTATCAGTCGGAGGCGGCAGTGCCATCGGTCTAGGAAAGGCAATCGCGCTTCGCACCAACATGCCTCAAGTAGCCATTCCGACGACGTACTCAGGCTCCGAGATGACCCCCATCATTGGAGAGACAAAAGATGGCAAGAAGACGTCGACCATGGACCCCAAGATCTTGCCCAAGGTAGTCATCTACGACGTTGACCTAACCATGGATCTGCCGGTCAAGGTCAGCGGCCCGAGTGGTCTCAACGCCATGGCACACTCATGTAGTCCACCCGTTCCAAGTGTCAACCTCAAGCTGGAACTAACATATGACCCAGTTGAAGCATTGTATTCCCGCCAGGCTAGCCCGCTGACGGACCATTTTGCTTTAGAGTCCATCAAGGCACTGTCGAGAGCCCTACCAGTAATCGCGTCAGACCCTTCCTCGGTCGAGGCACGCACCTCGGCTCTGTACGGCGCATTCCTGGCCGGCTTGCTGGCAGCAGCAACCGGCATTGCCCTGCAGCATAAGCTGGCTCACGCGGCCGGCGGCACTCTGAACCTCCCTCACGCCGAGACACATTCGATCTTCCTGCCCCATAGTATGGCGTTCAACGCGCAGGCCTTTCCCGAGGCCACTAGAACCAGGCTCTCCTTCGCTCTTGCGCAGAGTACTGAAGATTCCCCTGCGGGCATTGTAGCCGGTCTAAATCAGTTACTTCGAGTCTTGAATATACCCATGGGCCTCCAGGACATTGGTATGCAGGAGAAAGACATTGATCGCGTTGCTGACGTAGCATGTGACAAGCCATATTGGAACCCCCGTCCTTTGGAGAAGGCTACGATCCGTGAAATTATTCGCAGAGCATGGGCTGGGGAGGAGGCAAAGACAGATCTCTAGATCAGATTGGATCGGATACCTTGTATTTGTCTTTCTTCTGCTTCTGCCATTTATATGATCTACGCGCCGGGTCTCGAGTAGTCCAATGTTCTCACTCGCTTCCACGTCTCCCGCACCACTCTCTCCTGTGCCTGTCGTGCCGTCTCGGACTCGGTCGATCCTGCAGGTCTGTGTAGTGTCAGCAATGTCCAGGATCTCGTCCGAGGGCTGGACGAACCGGATGGCGAGGTACAGCCTTCCGCCCAGCTTGGCTTCCGGCACTACGCTCGTGTCTTCGGGAGGGTTTGCTATAGTCACGAGACCACCGGCCTCCTCGAGGATCGCGAAGCCTGCAGCAACGTCCCTAAAGCAGCGATGTCAGTCTTGGTACCTTACTGAGTCCGTGATAGTCGCAATAGCTCACCATTCCCAGCATCCGCCCTCCCACCAAATGTCGAACGACCCCATTGCTGTATATGCCAAATCCAGAGTAGCACTGTATCGTCAGTACGCTTGCCCACCTAAGCAATGCTACGCGGCAGACATGATCGGACTCACCTTCCCAAGCTCCTCATGCCATGTACCATGCCACCCTTGCCGCCTCGTCCCTTGCGCTCAGCAGCCATGTTCATGAAACTCTCGACCTTGCGGTGCATGTTGCCGTCGGGCGTGTCTCGACGGTCCTTGCCCCACTCGCAGGAGAAGACGCAGCCGCTGGGCGCATTGGCGGGCAGTGGGTTCAGAACCAGCGGCAGCCTCTGTGTCTCGTTCATCCATGCACCATGTCCCTTGAGCGACGAGAAAGTTTGGTTCAAGAAGGGGGCATTGATGACGCCAATGACGGGTTTTCCCTTGACAGCGAAACCGATTGAGACGCAGAACATTGGGAAAAGGTGGGTGAAGTTCACGGTGCCATCGAGGGGGTCAACGATCCATGTCGGCCGTTCGTCGACGAGGTAATCACGCGATGCGCCGGCCGAATATGTCTCTTCGCCGAGAAAACTGCAAGTCTGTCAATACAGACTGTCCGAGATGTTGCAAAGTCGAAGCTAGCGGGTGAGTCAACTCACTTGTGGCTGGGATACTTCTTTGCGACGGATGTGTGGATGAAAGCTTCGACTTCTAGCAGTGGGCAAACGTGCTGTCAGCAAGAGGCAAGTTGCCTCGACGAACATTGGGACATGGGCAAATTCAGAGTCAACGGAAACGAACCTGTGTCTGTCTTGGTCACCAAATCGACCGAGTTATCCTTTTCCGTGAATGCCTGCGTCTCTCCTCCGGATCCCCATCTTGACTTGGCTGCCGTCATGAGCATTTCTCCCGCCTCTTTGCCCAATTGGACGGCAAAGTCGTAGATTTCGCGGAGCTCGGCGTCGCTGATGTCGGCCATTTTGAAGGTTTCTAGGACTCGTAGGATCTATGACTGGAAGATTTGATTGAACAAGCTGTACGGGAAAGCTTGCTTATGGAGGAAGCACGCCAAACACCGGAAGAGTCAGAAAGAAAAGAGTTGTGTGAAACTGCGAGAAAAGAGCACGAGGCAACGAGACAAGCTGTCCGCAGTCGGCACCGGGTTCATCACCTTGAGGTAAGGTACCTTGAGGTAAGGTAAGGCAAGGTAAGGTAAGGTAGACGGCGTTATCAGAGCACCTGCTAAGCTGCAAATCGGTGGTGACTCGACGGCTGGGCCGCCGCCAACCGAAGAATGAGCCACTGCGGAAGCACTGCGGATGACGTCCGGTGCTCTATCAGCGGGGCATCCCCGCACAGGACCCCGCCTGTAGAGCCCAAAAATGGTCCCCTAGGCCGCTATCCGGACGGATAAGGTACCTCAGGATATCCTCAGCGGCGAAGGAATACTGCCAAAAGGCCCATTACTAAGGCTGGTGCGTGGTGGACTTCCGAGAAAGGAGGGGCACTGGGCTCACTCACCATCTCCCGTCTGCACCATTGTTGCCTCAAGGGTTCCAGGATGAGTGAAGACGGAGTGAAACACAAGAGAGGGTTGATCGGGTTCTTGTGTGAAATGACTCGGTGGTTCCCTTGCAATCTGGTAAGCATCGGTGAAGCTCTCACGTAAGAGCATCCTGCGAAGGTAACGAGTTGTTAAGTCAGAGACTCACTCAGTGTACCTCAGATCTAAGTGTGGAATTTCATCCAAGTGAACTGGCTTCAATTTTGTCAAAAGAAACCTTCCCACCAATTTACCAGGCTCACTCCAAGACTCAGACTAATGCATGACAGGGGCGATTTGTCTAGTAACCTATATCGATACTGACTGGAGTGACAACTCTTTTACAATTCGAGAATTTGAGAAAAGACACCTTTCTATGATCAAAGGTCGATAAGTAGTTATACACATCATATCTCTGTAAGCCTGAGATCTCGACCGCTTTCGAGGTGGATAAGTTTCATGAGGTCACGCACACGGAGTGCAAAAACCGGGAGTCAAGACTGATCTGAAGACTTCAATAAGATTATTGGTTTCATCAAAAGGAAAGAAAGAAACAGTAACGTAAATACTATACAATCGCTATGCAAAATGTTCATTCTTCATGCCGCCTTATTCCCCTCATAGTGACGCTGTAACCTGTGCTGATGGCTCTTCTACTCTCAGCTTCATGTCTCTCACCAGTTTAGACCAAGCGACAGCTCCTCTCTTTGCCAACTCCTCAGGCACACCGTGGTCCTCCTCTGACATCCTCCTGTTAAACAGCTCAAAGCTGACCCAGCCCTCGAAACCGAGGCCCTGAAAGATGGCGGCGCAAAGTTCCCGGACGGGAAGATACGCGCCTCTTGAATACTCGCCATAGAATAGACGACAGTTTCTTGACCAAGACATGCGGTGCGGCTGTTCGGCGTTGTAGTAGGGATGCGTTTCGCAGATGGGCTCAGCAAGACGCTCAGCGTCGACGACCTGCACGTAGATGATCTTGGAGACATCGACAGTCGTAAGCAACCGCTGAATAGAGTCCTTGACAGCTTGCTCGGCATCGACAACCTTTCCGGAAGCTGCTGTGGGGTCCGCAAAGATGCGGCCAGCAATGTTGAACGTATCGAGGCACATGCCAAAGTTGGGCCTGTCGACCCGTTGGATTACCTCCCAGCAGGTCTCCCAAACATCCACCCGAGTTCCCCAGGAGAGAGACTCGTACGAGAACTGGATAGGGGGGTTGGACGCAGCACCAATGTCTGCCACTTCGGCAAGGTCGGCAATGTGGAGTTCAAGATCCTCAGAGACTTGCTCTGCGGGCAAGACGTTGCTGGGAATCTGGATCAAGTCTGTGCCGAGAACGTGGGCAAGCTGGATCCAAACGCGCAACTCCTCGATGCGGCGGGCGTGCTGCTCCCGGTCGATGAGCCCCTCGAAATGTTGGAAAGGCTGAAGGCAAATAATCTCGATGTTGCGGACGTCGCACATTCTCTTGACAATGCCAGCAGCGGCGAGCTGGTTGTCGATCAAGGCAGCACCACCGGGCAACTGCTCGGCAACGTCCATGAGATCCTCGTGCCAGAGCTCAATGCCCTGGTACCCATACTTGGCGGCCATGTCCATCTTGTGCTCAAAGCTGTGGCCAGCCCAGCATCGGCCGAGCGACATTGTGCTGATTCCTAACCGGGAAGGCATTGTGATTGTGTGTGAGGCGTAAGGTTATTGACGATAGAACAGCAAGGGTATCTAGTGCGGATGGAGTGCGAAGACAATACAGAGACAATCCAGAGTAAGATGTTATGTGTCTTTCTGGTATAGAGGAGTAGCAAGATAGACTTAGAAGAAGGATGGAGGGAGTACCTGGGCCTAAAGAGGTGGACGTCTACTGGTATACATTTGCCCTCGGCAACAGGGGATCGGGAAGATTATTTGCAGCTCTCGATTCCCGTATCTAAGCAGCATGGCAATGGGAGACCCATACGGCAACTCTCTCGCAGAGAACGGTAGGTAGCTTTACCCAATGATCTCGTCTCCTGCCATGCTGTATCCGGGTCACACCGGACGCCCGAGGGGCGATGGAGGGAGGAGGAGGAGGAGGAGGAAAGTCATTCACCCGCCAGCTACCCCATCTTATCGGCGTCAGATGTTTGCAAGCATATCGATCTGGGGATTTCTGGGGCGCCCGAGGGTAGCCGGGCCAGTCTGAATGACGCGCTGCCGCACGTCTTCACACCCCGAACCTGTGGTAGCGGCATGTACGATGCCCATCACTGAGTGTGGCAGTTGATGGGAGGCATAGCAAGCTAGACTGACGGCTGGTGACGTTGAACTTGTCAGGCGCTGCCGGTTGTCAGGAAGAACGCTTCTCCATTGCAGGGGATAAACGTTCTCCAGAATGACACTCGGATGAGTGGGAGCACCAAGCGAACAGGGGGGGCGGGTATCTTTTGTGTCGTATGCCATGCCCACCATTCCGAGGCCCAGACTGTCCGGCACTTCTCACTGGCTGCTGGCTGGAGAGTTCTTTGCCGGAAGTCCCCCTCTGAAATCGCAGCGAGATGCCGATGGGAAAAGCCCTGATGCGGATTCCACGCGATCTCGAGAAGCCCGTCCCAGTGCCCCGGACTTTTCCCCGTATTCCGCAAGAATGATTAATTCGATACAGCTACCATTGGACCGATGAAGCTCCGTTTGGAGACAAGAAGAAGGGAACAAGAGCGAGGCACAAAAAGTGGCTTCCATCAGACCCCATTTCCCCCCCATTTTCTGCGGTTGACAATTCCCACCGTATTTTAGACTAAAAAGAGCCCTGGTTTTCTCCATTTGTTGCATCTTGCCATAACGCCATTCCTACCATTCTTCAGTCAGTTGCACAGAAGAGCCTTGCAGATATCATTCGAAACTATCAACCAAGAGAGAAAGAGAGACAGACAATCCTTGATCTCATCCCAGTATCACTCACTTTCTTAAACCCAACCAACTCACATCAAGCAACAATGGCCAGTGCTGCTCCCATCGACCAGGTGGAAGACACTATTGCGGTCAAGATTGAGCAGCTTGATCGCCACGGTTACCTGTTTGGCCAAAAAATCACACATTCCCTGTCACCACTCCTGCACACCACCATCTACGAGGGTATTGGCCTGAAATGGGAGCAAATGAGACTGGACTCGGCAGACTTGTCGCTGTTTCTGGAACTCATCAAGCACCCCAAATTCTACGGCAGCTCAGTAACCATGCCCAATAAGGTTGCCATCATTCCTCACCTCGATGAGCTGACGGATGAGTGCCGCGATGTTGGCGCCTGCAACACACTCTTCATCAGAGAACGCGACGGCAAGCGGATATACTGTGGCACCAACACGGACGTAATCGGCGTCCGTGAGTCTTTTGTCCAGAACGTCACCGACCCTGATACCGTCTACCACAACAAGCCGGCTCTTGTTATCGGAGGCGGCGGTGCGGCCAGAAGTGCCGTCTACGCTCTGCGCAAGTGGATGAAGGCCACCGATATCTACCTCGTCAACCGTGACAAGAGCGAAGTCGATGCAGTCATCGAAGAGTGCTCCGCGCGGGGATATGGAGACAATCTGTATCACGTCTCCACCGTCGAGGAGGCGAGAGACCTCGACGCCCCCGGCGCTATTGTGGCGTGCGTGCCCAACTTCACTCCCAAGACAGCAGAGGAGATTGTGGCGCGTGAGATTATCGTCGAGTTCCTAAACAAGGATCGCAAGGGTGCTATCCTCGAGATGTGCTACAACCCCACGCCCTACACAGAAATCGGTGCCCTCGCAGAGGATGCCGGCTGGCAAGTGATCCTGGGCACTGAGGCCATGATCTACCAAGGTCTTGAACAGGTCAGTCAGCACATAATCTGAACTCCATCTACCATACACATTTCTAACATCTTGATAGGACCGATACTGGACTGGCAAGGAGGTTGACGAACTTACCGTTCAAAAAGTAAAGGATGTGATTGCCGCAAAGCTGTCACAACACTCAAAATTGTAAAATGATAATGACCACCATAGACGCCTTGCATAGCTAGATCCTCAGCGACTGTTTCAACAGAAGACGATGACTTTGATGAAGATTCATAAAGTCTGGATAAATGCATGATGCTATTCCTATCTTAACTGAGTGAATGGTGCCTTGCATCCGAATCACGTACCGCATCGACCTCCCGCACGAGTTCGACGGTATTTCCAGGCCATTTTTTTGCACAATGTTTTCACAATTTCTTGGTCAATTTGAGCTGGACATGTGCACCATTTTTAGGTAGACAAGTAGGCCAGGTGTTTGGATGGTCTTTGTCCTTTCCATGCAAATTGGTAAACCATACACCAAACAGGGACTGGTGACCTGCCGGATAAAGACTCTCCCATAAGCTGGCACATACTAAGAAGATCCTTACAATTCTCCACATTACCTCTGTCCGCGTGATCTATCTAACCTAAGTGGCGGATTAGCATAGCTACGAGCCTAGAGCCCCAGATAGTATTGCCCACGAGCAACGATTTCGACGCTGGAGAATGACAGCCACCAAACTCATCTAGGTCTAGTGATTTTCCCATTCGAAGATCTGTTATCTTGTGTCCACGTTCAAGGTGCAGCGAGCACTGAGGCGGGTGAAATGAATTCGACCT